TCTTGGATTTTCATTTTCCTGATTCTTTTCTTTTTTTTAATTCTTTTCTTTTTGCAAAGGTTGCATTGCTGTCCAGTGGAACCGAAATCCACGTGTGAGATTTCCACTTCCCCGGTTCAAAGGGAGGCTCAAGGGAGATTTAAGCTTCCACGTTTGTTTTCTCGGGACCACCTTCGTCACCGTCTTGTAAGCAAAACGTTGTTGATGATTTTACGTCATCACGAGTATCACACTTGGATTTCACACTCCGTGAGAGAACTGAGCACTACCTACCTATTTCTCACTCCTCATTAACACAACTCTCATTGATTGTACACTATAGCGCACGATTAAACAGGACGGTCGGTCAGTCAATTTGTCTCATCCGACCATGAATGACCCAAGAACTCCTTGGCAACAAGCATTCCCCCAGTGTAGTGTAGTGTCGCCAGCCATCAAGTGAATCAGGGGAATCGAGGTACAATGTCCTCCATCAGAGGGGCAACGGCAGTTGCAAACCTGAGGTCTTTTGCTCGCATACCATGTCGGTGATTTGGTATAACTCTTGGCATTATGCTGCCCCAGAGTCTGGACCGGCCTGGCAGCCGGCGAAGAACCTCAACGCGCCACAAGGCAAGGGAGTAGGGCTGGAATCAATAAACGGCCACGTATAGTGTTCTGGTTTTAGGGCTTGGGCGCAATGGATGTGTGAGATTTTCATCATGACACAGAAGGTTTACCTGATTCATTGTGACCAACGCCCCATTCGGACGATTGGACGGAATAATAATGCAAGGAAAGGGTAATTTATCGAGAGTTTCTTGCTATCATTCACCTAGTGTGATCTTTTATTCGGTCCCCCGTGAACTTCCTCGTGAGCTTGGAGCGCAAAAAGTCAAGTGTCGTTATTAAGTTTTGACCACCTATGTGGGGTGGTGTCGCGTGACGTCTGGGAATATATGAGACAATGTCGTGCCTCTGAAATGACTGCATTTTTTATTCACTTGGCTATTAATCAACGGGAAAACCAGGATAGAGTTTCTGCAGAGCAGATACCGTGTTCTTCCCCCTTAATTCTTTTTACACTAGTATCACAACCACTTGGTCTCTCTGACAAACCGCACTTTCAGAGTTTCGCCTCCCATGCCCACCCACGTACCCAAAAGAAAACATCCACATTGAGACTCGATAACATGCCATTAACATCAAAGTAAATTGGACCCAAAAACCGCTAGCGAGCGAGCCTATGTTCCAGGAGGGGAAAAGAGGATCTTCAATGGCAACGAACGGGTCCATCCCCTTGGAAAATCTGAAACTGTGTTCCAATTTCCCCAGATGACCTTGCCGACTTCCACTTTCCCACCCAGCTACCGGCCGGCCAGAAGAGCCTATAACACACATCCAGATTTCGCAGATTGTCGAGCTTTGTCGAGATTGGCCGAGAATTACTTGCATCTGCTGGCTCACAACCACCATCATCCCCGTCCGTCCTTCATTCGTTTGTAATCCCCATCCCCACCCCCATCTCCACCTCCGTCGCCAGTCCTTGGCAATTCCGCCGATTCCCACTCCCGTGTCCATCAAGGTAGACAAGGTAAAGAGAAAAAAAAGAAAGGTGACCCCACAAGTGCGGGCAGCAAACTCCCTGCACCAACTCCAGTTGGGGGTGTCCCAAGAGCCGGCAGTTATTGAGGGTCCACTTGTCGACATCCTCAATTCTGTATGGACCAAGTCGAAAAAGGAGGCGCGTGGCGTTGAGTTTGCAGCATATGCAAGATATGGATGACCCCGATGTAGGTTGTGGATATTAGAGGACAAGACGGGCCACAGAACCTCCGTTGCCCGACATTGCTGAGCGCCAAACAAAAGGGAGGGAGGGCCCGCCAGACGGGTTGCGATTGAACCTTTGGATGGATTGACAATTGCTGTTGTCGGTGCTGATGCCGGGAGCCCGGGCAATGGTCCTTTGAGGAGGGAGTACATAACCGGCTACAAACGTGCCGCATTGACTTTAGTGTAGATGTCGAGGACATATTGGTGTTGGTGTCGACACGAACATCAACAGCATCTGGAAAGTTCTGCCGCCGCCGCCGCTTGGGGGTCCCAATTTCCCCAACCACACGTGCGCAACCGGTGCAACAAATTATCTCCGGGCCGAGTTCCCACCACGTACGTAACACGATGGCCGGGGATATGGTTTGATTACATGAGGGCCATCTTGATCTCGGAAAACAAGCTTAACCTTTGCGCCGGGAAGCTTGCGACGGGGGACGGGGGTCGGGGGTCGGGGAGATGACAGCGGGGATGCCGACAGGGACGGAGCCGAACTCGGAAGTGAAGCGGACGGGGACCGCCCTTGGCCCACGGGGACATGTTTGACAAGCGCTCAATGGCCGGTCGGACAGGATGACGGAGGGTCGGGGGTTGCGATTTCGGCAAGAAGTAACCTGAAAAGAACCAAGGGAAAAATCAGCAAGTGCCTGCCTGCAATGCGACAAAACCGTTGGTACCCGCGCCAAAGTCTATTTCTTTCGTCTCTGGCTGCATGTTCTCCTCTTTCTCACCCACCTGAACCAATCACCATTCTGCAACCTCGATTTCATGAGATTCGTCATCCCAGTAAGCGACTCCATAATGGTAGATCTTGGAGTGGATGACCTTGTGGAGGACGGTGGGGATGGCTCTTTGGAGGCCCAGAACCAAGGCAAATTCAACCAAAAAAGAAAAGCGTAGCATTGCCCCTTTCAGGAAAGAAAGAGCCGAGACAAGGTGGAGTAAGCTTTGGGTTCAAGCAAAGCGCTGGAAAGCCATTCAGTAACCGGGGTCAGAGGCAAAATGGCAGGGGAGGGACGTCATCTGAAAACGTCAGCCATGATTTCACTGCATATCGCTTGATGGCAGAATTCTGGGGTAGCCACCACCACCACCACCACCACCACCACCACCACAATAAATTGGGTGGGGGGCGATGAGGACGGGGTGGAGGAACCAAGAGTGAATATTGAAGTGATACATATGGTTAGCTTTGCTGGGTCAGTGACTGACACACAGAGTCCGACATTATTTGCACCCAGTCGCTACGTTAGCGAGGGAAGACATGCTTGGGACTCCATACATGGAAAGAATGTGTGATATTAATGATGTGTGTAAACATTTGGTATCGTCGTGGATCCAACCCTTGATCCGGTATCATTAAATAAAAAGAAAACATGAACATAAGATGCACATGACCCAAACCTCTGTGGATATCCAAAGTCGTGGACGGTACCTCGCTCACCAAGTAACAAATACCCATTGCGACCCGCTTAAACAAAATTCATAACGTAAAACATATCAGGGAAAGAACGGCCTGGGCCGACTTACGCCTGGTCACGGTCAGACTTGGCAGCCATCCTGGACTCACGGCCCTTCTCAGACCAGGGGAAGTGGAAGACAGGGAGGAGGAAGAAGGAGTTGCTGTAAGAGAAAAAGAACCGTCAGCGAATGATCATTTGAAGTTATATGAGGCTCTGCAATTGGGTCAAGGATGATAGCAATGACGCGTGCTTGGCAGATGAGCTTGAAACGAGGAACCCCGAAAGGAACCAGTAGTGTCATGGCATGGTTTCGGGGAACACCCAATGCCAAGGCCAGCATAATGACACTGTACTTTTCTTTCTTTCATTTATCCTTGTCGGAAGGGGAGGTAGATATGTGACTGAAAGAAAAAGAAATCAAGAGGACAAAAAAAAAGAAAAGAAAAAAAAAGAGAAATCATTGTCGGGGTACTAACCTGCTGTCCGCAATACCAGCAAACGCGTTGTACCAAGCGAAGAAGGCGGCAAGCATACCGAAGACACCGCCAGCCTTGGTGAGCCTCCCGGCGGCAAGGGCGTTTCCGTTGTCGTTGGCGTACTCGCCGCAGGCCAGCATGAGGAAGGCAATATCCAGAGTGAAGAAAAGCATAAAGAACATGATGGTGGAGCGCAAGGTGCATAGAAGAAGGATGGTGGTGAAGATAAACCAGCCGGTAAGGAAGACGCCGACAGCAGACGCGGCCATCTCGGGATCAATCGCCTTGGCTTCTGGGGTAGCATAGGGACCGTCGGCGCCAAGGATGTTCCAGGCCGGGGTGAGAAGAATGGCATAGGAGATCCAAAAGCCACCGTAAGAAGAGAGAGCAGTAGCACCGAAAGTGTTGCCAACAGCCATTTCCCTGGAGGCACGTGTTAGACATGATGCGTGAGGAGAGGGTGGCATGAATCCAGTGATTGTACTTACCACATGCCGGCAAGAAGCTGAATAAGACCACCATAAGCGAGAGCAGAGCCAACGACAACGTTGGGGACGGTCAGGTTACGAGCCTTGAGGTTGACGCAGGAGAGGATGAAGGTAGTGAGGGCGAAAGCGCAGAGACCCAAGGGCGCTGGGTTGGCGAACTTGCGTTCCTTGACTGGGCGATAGAGACCGGGTTGGAATTCACCACCGAAGGCAGGCAACCTGGGCTCAGTTCCGGTGTGGATGCGAGCCATTGGGTTGTGCCAGCCATTGAGCATGGCCTCTTGGTGGGCGGCAGCGACAGCGGCCTGGGCCTGAGCCTGGAGCTGAGCTTGGGCCTGGGCGTGGGCCTGCTCCGCAGAGATGTTGTCAACCTGGGGCTTCTCGTCGTACATTGTGCGAACTTGTTGAGAGGTGATGATATGTTGGGGGCGAAGTGTGTATTGTCGGACCAGGTGAGAAACCAAGTTAATGGTGCTCCTTAGATGTCGATGTTGTTGTTGCAAGGTGTGCCACCTAGAGACCTGGAGAAGACGGAAATAAAGAAAAGGGTCCTGGGGAAGAACTGGGGAAGAGAGGTTGATATAGAGAATAACGAGGGGGGGTCGAATGGATCATCGATTACATATCCCACGGCCAGAAGAGCGGCATGTTGAACATGCCGCTAGAGAAGCGTTGCCGTAATGGGCAAGCAGGGATGATCCGCAGAGGCCTGGGGTTAGCTGGAGCTGCTTAGATCTGCCTGGATCTGCTTGGGTCCTGGGATGAACTGGCTCATCGGTCAGTGGAGAGTGGATGTCAGTAATGCAGGGACTAGGGGCCGTCATCTGGGGGACTGGAGACCAAGTGGGACGCCGTCCTTGGGCGTGCCAGCTCGTTAGTGGCATAAGGGGCAGAGACTCATACCGGATAAATGCATTTTCTCTTGATATTCCCTGAGCCCAGCCTCTGCTGGATTTCGACTGGACCTCGACTGGGGTCAGGCTGTGCCTCTGACTGGAGCCAGCCGGGTCACGGCTCCCACCACGACTGAGGCCGGTTGCAGACTGCCGGGGGGCACCCCGAGCCCACGGAGGGACAGCCCAAACGATGAGGAGACGGATGCAGGCCAACAAGGACATCGGTGAGAAAGCGGATATCTCCCTCGGCTTAAGGTTCTCTCTTAGTGGGTCGTCGGTGGTTGTGTTAAAGCTGTGAGCTCCACTGAAAGACGGAGAAGAAGATCTGGAAACGCCGTCTCCTTACTGGATAAAGCTGATTATTCCACCAGGATACGGGGTAGGTTGCGTGGCATTATACATAGTATTGCGGTTGGTCCACAACACTTGCAGTCTGCTTGGTAATTCCTTTACACGCCCAAATTAAAAGGTCTTGGTAGAGCCGACTGTCTAAGATTTGAAGAACATGGAAGGGGAGAAGCAATACACACAGGTCCAAGTGATAAACAGTAGACTGGTTTCGTGCATTGAGAGTGTCAGTTGGGGTGTTTCACGATGAGTAGACTCTGTCGAAGCAGATGCCTGCTGTCATGTATATTCCATAGACGAGAAATGCACTAGTAGTACCGGCAATAAGGGGGCACTGGAACAAGGAGGGTCACTCACCCAAATTCAACCGACAACAACCATACACATTATGTGCGTAGTATCCAACTGGAGTCCCTGTTCCGCTCCAAAAACCCCGGACAAAGAGTCTAACACACGCTAAGATGGTCATCTTCAGATTAGATCTCCCTTGTGGCTAAGGTTAGAGGTGACATGACCTGAATTGACGCCTAGATAGCGAGGCTAAAAAGCTGTTCAGCACATGGCATAATTGGATATCTGATGGCACTGCTCAACTCGGGCTTCAGGAATTGAGTACCCTGATCAAAAGGACGAGGATTCATAGGTGTGATTGGTGGCTTTTTCCAGTTGGTCTCGATGACTAGAAGACAGCACATTTTTTTTTGGTTTCCTGATAGTACTTTTTTTCTGTGGCCGCATGTAGGTAGGGTAGTAATCCCGACCAGTAGCGCATTCTTCCTTCTCACACGGACTCCAGTGGCTTACAATTCTGGTAGAGATCGCCGGGCATTGGTGGTTAAGAGCTGTGCCGAGTTAGCCATACTGCCATATAACCGCAATTTCTTTTGCTGAAGAGGGCAAGAGGCTCCTTTCCCGACGCACAGGGGACATGGACCCAAGCCAGCATTGTCTTAGTGTCGACATCCGGTCGTATTCACCCAAACAATCTGGCAGAGAGGTGGGGGATGGGCAACGATTGGTTGGGGAGACATTGAGGTGCAGAGATGCGGCGGGCACAACCAGAAAAGCAGAGAACCAAAGGGGGGGGGCAGCCGGTGGCTTGACTTTGCCTTTTCCTGTTCAATTCCTGCACCGATTGCCGGCTGGGCATGCGTAATCGGCTTGACTGGCAACTGAATTAAATTTTGTGATTTTTTAAGAAAATTTTTTTTTTTTTTGGAAATATTCCCATGGACGACTGACTGTATGGATGTCCACGATGGAAGTTGTTGAGATGGTGGTATACACTACACTAGAATGGTGTCAAGAAGCGATCTGCATAGAGTCGGATCAAGTGCCCGGCAACAGAGTATCAGAAAGACCAGCAAGTCGCAGTCAAGTGGAGAGAAAAGAGCGGACTTGCTCGACTGCACACTGTACTGTGTGCCGGGAATAAGGGGAGTTATGTATGTAGTGTACTGCGTAGTGTAGTAGACTGTTGCGGGAGTGGTGATCGGGGGAAAGCCAAGTGGTCGCTAACCTCGCCGGTGTTCTCTGGCTAACTGTGAAGGGATGCGCCATCCGGAGTTCCATTGCAGTGAAGCACCCGTTGGTTACATGGTAGGCTCTGTAGCATTGCATGGAGTCATGGATGTCCATGGAAAAGGGCGAAGGGAGGGGAGAGAGTCCGTCCTCATTTTGGAGAAGGCAAAGAAAGGCATTAGGTAAGGCATGATAGGTCCGTAGTGCTAACTAAGTGTGAGTGAGGTCTGGAATGGATACCCGATGGTTGAGAGTCTGCACCTCTTTTGCCCGAATGGTGCAAAGGTAGACAGATTTTCCCCCAGGCGAAACCGGGCCAAACACGTTGGGTCAGGCACCTCAATCGGAAGTCAAGCCACACAGAACCCAGAAGGAAGGGACCGACGGGAACGGAGCCGGAGTGGGAGAACTTTCCGCTTCAGCACCCTGTGAACTGAACGAAGTGACGGAAGACGGGAACAAGGAGGGGTGGAAAGGGCACCTTCCCCATAAAGTTGACTCAAAAGTGGTGGATTTTCTCCGCACGTTCCCCCCGTTCCTTCCCCTTCTGAGCATGGCGACAGACATGCCCGCCTGGAAGCTGACCAACTGTTTGCCGTCAGCATTTCTTAGCACCATTACGTCGTTGGGCACATGGAACGCTGTTAGTGCTATTCATTAGTGTACTCCCCGAATCCCCCTTTTTTTTTCAATCCTTTTTTGTTTCTTTTCTTTGCTCCATTCTTTTGTCTCCACGGCCAAGCGGGGGAATCTGGGGAAAGTGTAAATGCAAAGACCGAGTCATGACTTCCGTGTCTCTAGTGCTGCAGTGTGCATGATGAGACACTCAATTGCTGCTGACACTGAATGGCTTGACTGTTGGAAAAACGGGTTGAATGTGGTGACTGGTGAAGGGAGGGGCGTTGCGGGGAAGTGGATGGAATTCGGCAAGTACCGTTGTACCGTCGTTCATCCAGTCTTTGTGTACATGTTGAGGGCTTGCTTGCCCTCAGGGTCATGCAAATATCGGTGCTTTTCCCAATCCCCGTCCAAAAAAGTCTGACACTCAATTTCTTCCACTTCCTTTGTCCTCCGCCTGCCAACCTGCCTGTGCTGCTCTCAATTCGATACCCAATGCCAGTGCCGTGTGCCTCCTGGGATCTCCCAAGTTCTACAGTATGGCTTCTTCTCATAAGACGGACAGGGGAAAAGGGTCATGCTGATTTGTGCTGACGGGGTCCAAGACCCAGCCGAACGACTAGCCTCGGCCCTTCTCTATCAGAGATGTGGCCATTCGTAATCCATCACGATCCATCCCATCGGCATCCAGCCTCTTGCTTTCCATCCACCTGGCACTTGTGTGTGTTCCACGGCCATTGACGGCATTTTGACACCGCAAACTCAGAAAGAATGATCATTGGAAGCTGAGTGCTTCCCGTGTACAATACTGATTGTGCACATTTTGACAGTCTCACGATTATCACGACACTTGTGCACACCTGTCTCTCTGCTCTTTGAGATCCACACGACCCCCCATCGTTCTGTAGGCCTTGGCGGATGTGCGGCTCGTTCGCCGGCAAAATTAACCACACTACAACGACAGATTGCTACACTGCCTGCAGTTCATACCTACACTACACTAAGCTCCTGGCAATGGCATGTTAGCATTTGTCTGGGCGTTATTTCTCTTGCGAGTCTCGACTGTTGCTCCGAGTGGAGGTCCCAATACCAACAGCCCCGGGGCAGACATCCGTTTCGGTCAAGCATTGCCGGCAGTTCTCTCTGCCATTACCCATGGATTTCTCTGTCATCAAAGGTAGCCTTCATCCATGGGTGCCTTGGCAAAGATCGTCAGGGGAAGTAGCCATCTTGATCATAGAGTGGGAGAGTGGTTGGATGCTTGGGCTTCTGGTTATCAAAGAAAAAGCCAGCTAGCCAGCCAGCCAGCCAACCTCCTGGGATATTCAGGAACATCAACAGACAGACAGGCTCACACAGACAAGTGCCCGGTCTGACTACCATGTTGAAGCGTGCGTGTTCCGTGTTCTACATTCATGATCCCAATCATCATCCTGGCGGGAATGCTAGTGACACTACGGCAATTATCTACCAATAGCAAGACCCCCGAGATGAACACCACGTTATCACAAGTACTCTACGTTCCCTCTGCCTATACACCTCCTGTACCCTTTCCCTTTGAAGATCCGTCGACGAGGGGGGCCGGTGACATGCCCATAGGAAATGCCATTAACGCTATGGAGCACGTTCCCGTCGCTGATACAACGTCACTTGTACCAAGAAGGGAATTGCGTGGAAAACCAAAAGTACGGATATGTTGCAAGGAAGAGGAAAGTTTTTATCGAAGGGGGGAAAAGGGAGATTGGAAAGATGACTATTAGGATACGAAGAACGAACTGATATTATTTTTCAAGTAGAAAAAAAAAGTAGAATTATGAAAACAAAGAGGCGAAGAAACTAAGATACAGGAATATCAGATAATATGGCCAAAAACATATGCACGAGAAGAAACTGACAACACACAAAAAAAAAACCCTAGAAACCAACTAACCAGGGGAACAACAAGAACAAGAACAAGACCAAGAACAAGAACAAGAACAACAACAACAACAACAGAAGAACACCAGCATTGTCACCAAGTGAAATGCCAACACCCCATTCCACATCATCTGCCAAGTCTGTTTCTCCCTGATGTTCACCTCTTACCTACCCACCCACCTTCACTCTTCCTCTTTCCTTGCATGTACCTAGCATCTCTTCATCATATTCCTTTTCTACAACCCACAACCGCCCGGGGGGGGGGTTTTTTTCCTCTTCAAATTCAGACTTTCCTCTTCATTTCCTCCTTCCCCTCTTCGATTCTTACCTTTTTCCCCTTTCTCCTTTCCCCTTTCTCCCCCTTTCCCATTCCCCCTTCACCCCCAACTTGATTTGGCTATGTACTGAACCTGTAAGCTTACCTAGGCACCTAGAGGTATCCAACACTCCAACACCTCAACCCCCCACCAAATGACCAAATCAACAGATATAACCTTCAAATAAGCTTTGCGGCTGCACTTGCCTGACACCTTAACCCAAGGCGCTTATGCATTCAATTGCGTAGGTTGGCATTAGCTTATTGAGCTCGTGTCACTTGGCGTCAGCTTTGCATTCTTGACATCTTGGCTCGTTCCTATAGCCTTCGTCAAGGTCTCGGCTTGTTATCATACTATCACAAGATGGGTCAAAACGGACCTGTGCATGCTCAATGGACTTTTGTTATGGTAAAGTCCGAAACCAAAGGAGTGATAATTTCTTGTGCTCCTTACTTTTCACCTAGTATAAAAAAATCCCGACATGAAAGGATAAAGTGAAAAAGCATATAGCTCCCCAAAAAAGTAAGCGAAAATCTCAACCACTATGGTAGAGTAAAGAAAAGATCAAGACTGTTAAACCATCATTAACGAAGACCGATAACCTCCCTTTCCCTCCATTCAGCCAAAAGTTAGCACATGCGTTGTTTCATCCTTTAACCGAAAGGGAATTTCTTGTAATGTGCTCCATCAAGGTTCCCACTAATATCCTTCACCAAACTCCATTCCACGTTCTGTAATTTCACCTCTTCCTCTTAAATATGGCTCTGTTGATTATCGTTACGTATGAAAATCATGTGTAGACGATCAATCAACCACTAAATGGTCGGCCCACCCTGAACGAGAAGAAGTAGGTCTCCAAGGGCAGAGGAGACGTGGGTGGTACAGTCACCGGTGAAGATGAGGATGATGTGGTTACCGACGTCTCTGATGTCGGCAAGCCAGAAGACCCATTCGGGATCGGAGATGCATCAGTGCCACACAAGGGAGTGGGAATAATGGTAGGAACAGACCTAGCTGGTGGAAATGAGCAATGTTCACTTGCTGCCGCAGTTGAAGGCACTGTCACTGTTGTTTCTGGTATTGTCATAGTGATTTCTGGTTGAGTAACCGTTAACGTGAGGTTTGGCAGCGTAGAAGGGACAGAACCACCGGACTCCCATGGGACTGATGACGAGAGAGATGGTACCACAGTCGAAGATAGTAGGGATATGATAGATGATGGAGAAGATGAGCTGGTATACGATGGCGGTTGTTGCGGAGCGGCGTTGGCTGTCCCTGTCGGAACTGACGGCTGGGTTGCTGGACTTGATACAGATGGCATCGATGGCAAAGACGTCATGCTAGAGCTAAATTGGTCCCCAACCGGGACCGTGCCACTTATGCTCATGCTAGTGGAAATCCTTTCTGTTGTGGTTCGTGTGATTGTTATGCAACTGGTGGTCGTTGTGCTGCAAGCTGTGACCGTCGTGGTGCAGGGCGTCAGAACGGCCCTTTCGGGGGGTGTGTGGTTGGTCGTATCGTTCAGCTGCTAGCCAACGACCATGTGTGCTTCATCAATCATGGACTTTACTTTTGCAACTTCTGAAGTAGCCATCCTTTGGATCTTATCCATGGCAGCAAAAACGATAGTGCGGACACTGGATGCCATGTCTTCCACGTCAATGGCTGTGGGTTTCATGTGCATGTTCTTGAGGGCCACATCGGCAACGATGGCAACCGTGGGGACTTCTTCCTCAGTGCTGATATCATCTTCGTTCAAATCATCCTCGTCTGCGGGCCACTCCCACACTGCGCTTGTCATTGGAACAAGACTTTGCCGAACTGCCCCGGTGAAGTCTGCCATTTCCGTCTGACCTGGACTTAATGTTGGCAATGTAAAGTTCATCTCAGGCCCCGGAGCCTTAGGAACGTGGCCAGTAATACTCCAAATACTCAGAGCGAGGTTTCCGCCACATATGAACTCAGGTTCTCCCTCACAAGGAATGCCGCAGTCCGACTCAGCAATCCGCCAGGAATCAACTACTTTGTCTCCGCAGAAGCACATGTAGCCGGCTTCCGTACCAGCCAAGCGGTACCCAAGGGTTTTGCAAAATGTAATGCAAATCTCCGTCGTCATGCCACCGACCACCGTTGCCGTAATCGATTCATTCTGTAGTGCTCGAGCCGAATCATCTTTGTAGCACCCCCCATATTGCCAGCCTGCTGTGGCAGGATGTATGGTTTCGGCTGCAGCGGCAGTCTCAAACACGGTCAAGGATTGTGTTGAAGTAATGGTGATTTCCACGACAGCACCTCCAACAGGGGCATTTCCAGAAGTGGCCACTGTGGACAGGCTTACAGTAACGCTCTCGGGAGCAGCAGTTGGCAACGGGATACAAAACCACCCGCTAGAGCAGTGATAGCATGGCCATCCGTACCCACAGGGGGCCGGCAGCGCAGGAGTGAGAGGCGGTGGACAGAACCATCCATTGATACAGTCGTCGCAAAAGTAACCCTGACCAGGACAAGGACCTGAACCGGGACCGTAAGGCGATAACGAGGTAACTCCAGAATTGTCTCCATATCCGAGAAGGCCTCGGGAGCCAGAGACGCCCCCAGACCCGTTGCTGCTCAGTCTACCTGCATTGTTGGCTTCTTCAGGGTTGGTTCCGGACCCAGAAGTACTATCTGAAGAAGAGCCGCTATCATCGGATAGGCAAGGAAGACCCGTGGGACATGAAGGACACGCAGACAGGGAGGGGCAAGTGAGCATCGAGGTTCTAGTACCACTATTAGCAGAGAAAACAATGGTCGCACATAGCAGCAGCACTTACGGTGTGCCACCGAGACAGGTAGCAATGATGCTGAGCTCCACGGACGTGACCGTGATGGTTTGTGTGCTGACGGAGACAACGGATATCATCTTCCCTGCTCCCCCTGCCTGAGGTAAGAGACTGTTTGAAGCTCCGCGTCTCAAAGTACAAGTTGAAACTGAATCACTGCTTATCTGGAACATAGAGTCGCTGGTTGGCTGTCCTGAAGCGCTCACAAAGACTGTAGACACAGAAGCTGGGGCTTGTACTGTTGAAGCAATTTCCGATGCTGGACCAGTGATAGGAGTTGTCGAGCTTGGTCCCTTTATAAAGGGCGCCGTCGTTTGGATTGAGCTGCACGGGACGGACACCGGAATGACAGAGTCGCCTACCAACATCAACTGTGAGCACATTACACCAACAGTCTCGGAAGAGGCTGAACCCGCGGCCACCGTGACTTGACTGATCAAACTGTCCATTGGGGTATTTGAAACCATGCTGGCCAACACCGATGCTATAACGCCAACAACGTTGCTGGCTAATGCGGTGTTTGAGGGACCCGCAACGCTTGAGAGTGACCCCGCAAATTGAGAAAGGGGTACAGCAGTGGGAAGTGATATACCAGAGAGCTTCGACAAAAGGGTTGTCGGGATCGATACCTCAATGGTCGTCGAAGAGAGATTTAGGGTAATGGCCGGCAATTCTGACGTCAAGAGCATAGCTTCTGACACGACCCCCTGGGTGAGAGATGGCACTTCCGAGGCAAGCACTGCTGTTAAGGAAGCAGCATCGGGCACAGGAACCGACACTTCTGAGCTAAGAATCGATTGTAGGGACTCTAGGAGTGGTAGAGCCGACGGTATGTTCATGCTCAACCTGGGAATCAGTGGTGTTGTCTCCGAATTAAGAATCGGGATGCTAGCTGTTGGTAGAGGAACACTTGGTATGATGGCACTCAAGATCGAGGTAATGTCTGGCGCTGGAAGCGAAACTATTGGTACAGACACAGGAACAGAAGCTAGCTCAGATGAAACCAGCGCTGTGAGAGTTACCGGCAGGGGAAGGGAAGCCATCTCCGACACGACAATTGCTGAGAGCGACTGGAGTTCCGAAATCGAAACCGGAAGTTCTGAGCTGACCATCGACTGGAACGACTGCAAGAGCGGTAGGACTGATGGCAGGTCTGTACTCAACAGGGGAATCAAGGGCGTGATCTCAGATATGAGAAGCGGGATGTCAGATGTCGGAACCGCTGCGGTTGGCAGAATGGCACTTAAGATGGAAACTACCCCCGGTGTTGGGTTCACGTTGGATGGTACGGGAAATGAAAGCGGAAGTGACAATCCTGGGCTTAGGAACGGCGGTTGGCCCGAAGAGGTCGGGCCCGGTACTGGTATAACCGGTGGTAAGGTACCTTCCGCCGACGTAGTGGTGTCCTGCTGTACTCCGGGCTGAAGAACACTCTCCAAAGCCGGGATGAGGGATACGAGAGAAGCGACATCTGTAGGAAGCGTAGCGTTCGGGCTGACCATTGCGGTACCGATGTTAGAAAGACTGGTCGTCAGTGAACCCAAGATGGTGTTGAGCAACGAGATGAGACCCCCGATGACCGCAGAGTTCGATTCGAGTGGGGTTGCGGCACTACCAGTACTTGTTGTAACCAAAAGAGTAGTTTGGGCTGGAGGATTGAGCAGTAAAGACAAGATATCAGGACCGATTGTCAGGCCAGGGGCACCCAATTCGTCTGACTTGGACTCCTGAGGCTCACCATTTTCTACCTGGCGGTGGACACGTCGAAGGGCCGGGATTGTTCCTGTCTCCTTGCTGTCCGAGACATGGTTGGAAGCGAGGCTGATGGGAAGAAGGAGTAGGGGTAGCAGGTAACGACCAGCAGACGGCATGGTAGCCAGAAACGACTGTGTTTGCCCGAAAGAAAGAAGAAGGAGAAGAGGCCAGTTGCGTAGGTATGTAGTTGATACACTTCCAAGGGCAGAAGGCCAAAGCGGTTCCAAAACTCACAAGTCCAAAACCCGTGGTCCAAAAAAAAAAAAGGAGGGAAACGAACGGTGCTCAGCCTAGCAGAGTATTGGTGATGGAAGAGAACATGGAGAAGAGTAGAAAAAACATCGCTCGGGGATTGGGGGAGATATTGCTCTTTTGTCAGGCCGGAGAAGCGGTTGCTCTTTCCCAGTCGACTCCTGCACAACCGCCATCATGGGAAAGGGGCAAGACCGACCGACCCCTTGAGGAACAGTCACGAGTGGTTAGATGGTATCCCAAGGTCAAGTCTCGAGTCCCTTCCTACCGCGCTGCCTCTCGGGCAGGCCATTTCCAGTATAGAAAGCAAGTAGACGGCTACCGCTCCAAGCTTGGACTCTTGTACGTGATTTCTGTGTGAACCGTGTCTGCTGAGCTGTTAGCAACCGCGAATCATACAGCATGTTAAGCTCGCAAACCAAATAAGCAGCTGTCCATAGTATGAGCAGCGACGACCCTTGACCGCATTGAACGCATTGTCCTACAACGCTACCATCCATAAAATTCACAATGATTCGCTGATTCGAAAGGAGGCTTTGTCGTTGTTGGTCATTTCATCAATTTTGGGACTCAGGCCGATCGCACTAGGTATTTGGGACAACAGCCTTCATCTATTCCATTCCCGGAGCCCATGCAATCAAATAACCACAGACGCCCGAAAGAATCCTTCCATCCTCGCTGGCTGGAAACCACTTTCAACCAGTCGCTTAGTTGGCGTAACGCTTGCCCTCACGGAGGGTGTCGGCGAACTCCTCAAGAGGAGAGCGGGTCAACTTGGTCTCCTTCCACAAGTTGGGGGTAAGGAAGCCATAGGTGTTGGAAACAGCGGCGAAAGTAGCCTTGAGAGTGTTCTCAAGGGTCTTGGTAGAGCCGGAAGAGGAGGTGTAAGCATCCTCGATACCGGCGAGCTGGAGAAGACGCTTGACGGCGGGGGAGGCAACGAGGGAGGTACCACGGGGAGCGGGGATAAGCTATGAGGATCGCAGTCAGCGCCAGTTCCAGCTTGTCAAGTCAAATATCGGGTATAACTTACGCGGACGGTGACGGAACCGCACTTGCCAGACTCCTTGACGGGGAGGGAGTGGGGGAGACCAAGGTTGGCGCCCCAGTAACCGCGACGGACAGGGATGACGCTGAGCTTGGCGATGATGATGGCAGCGCGGATAGCAGTAGCGACTTCCTTGGAGGTCTTGATACCGAGACCGACGTGGCCCTCGGAGTCACCGATGATGACGATGGCCTTGAAGCGGGTACGCTGACCGGCACGGGTCTGCTTCTGGACGGGCTTGATCTGCAGAGGGGGAAAACAACAATATCAGCATGCCAGTTTCGTGGGGTTTCAAACACAGTTCCCCCCAATGTCGTCGCGAATCCTGCGATTCTCGCTCCTCCTCCTCAACCTCATCCTCCGGGCATCAAAGAATTCGTTGCTGCGCACCTTCATGACCTCATCCTTGAGCTTGGGGAGGAAGAAGTCGACGATCTGGTACTCCTTGATGGGGAGAGAGTGGAGGTAGATCTCCTCCATGCTCTTGATCTTGCCGGCCTTCACGAGACGGCCGAGCTTGGTGACGGGCTGCCACTCCTTCTCCTCGGACTTGCCGCCGCGACGGCCACGGCCACGTCCACCACGGCCACGGCCGCGGTCACCACCACGATCGCCACGGGAAGCGAAGCCGCCGCCACGGGGGCCAGAAGTTCCACGATCAGCCATTATGTCGGTTTGCCGGTAGGGTATCGGAGACGGAGGGTCTGTTGCTGGTCGTCGTCGTGGACTGGTTGAGGAGTGCAGATACTCGACGTTTTTCTCGGGCGCCTGGTGGGGGTCGCAGCTTTTCGCTGCGATTTCTGGATTTTGCTGGTGCGCTCCGCCTTTGGCACCAACCCTAACGCCCACCTCATTGGCTACCCGCGGGTTTTGTCCCGCCTGGCAGTCGGAAGGTGGGGTAGATTTGGGGTTACAGCTGTCAGGCTTGGCATAGACAATGAGTGTGCACGGACCAGGTTGTCTGCTTCTCAGCCCAACTGCTTGCTGTAGCTACCTCTACAGGGCTGGCCGTCGCACCGTCAGTCCCGCCGCGAACTTGCAATCGTGAACCTTGGATGCCGGGGCAGTTCCATTCATCATGGGCAAATTGAAGCCCCACTGCGAACATTGAAGTCCATTCCTCCCTCTGTCGGCCATCGGGGTTCTCACTCTTGTCATCACCAACGCGTGGAGATTCCAGTATTGGGCTCATGTCAACAAATCTTTCAATTCTGTTGATAGTTGTTGCGGACTTCCTCACTGTCGCTGCAGATTCTAAGTGAACACCCGATATCAACATCAACATCCATTTGCAAATGCACATTACCTTGTCGCATTATCAGATGGTTCAGTGGAGGTGTTCGTCTCTTAGTTGCGACATGTGCCTCCAGTCTGTCGGTCTCCACAGACTCATAGAGGCATCCAACTCACACAGAACGACCTGGTATTGCACGTCCAGGGATCACACGCTGATATGATCAAGAAGAGAGCCGTTTTCTGAATAAGTGCCCAAAGGACAAATCGATTTTCCTATTGTACCTAGCTGGAAGAAGGGGGCATCATCAGATTCCATCAAAACGCCTATGCGCCGGAAACCTAGCCTATAGTAGAGGATGAACTGAGTACCCAAGTCCAACACATGCTCCTGCGTTCCCGATATGCCCATGGCCATGACCATTTCCCTCGTAGGTAGAATCAGTAAACGCCCAGAGACGCCATGAGATGCTTGCTTGCTTATTTGCGAATGAAGAACATTCCAAAAGACAAGCCCTTCAAGCAGAGGGGTTGGCGTTCATCTGGATTCGATGATATGTCAGCACAACTGCGATCTGGAAGCAAAGCATGAGTGAGCCCTCCTACCTTGCGCTTGCCGCCAGGACCTGTGACAACGTTCACGAAACGGCGAGTGTAGATTTCGCGCTTGTGAGCACGGCCCTTGGGGGTCTTGGGCTTCTCCTGGGGCTCAACCTTGGGAGTCTGAGACTTGACCTTGCCTGAAGATGGGTGTGAGTTTTGGTGATGAAGGTGTGGCGAAATGGCATCAAAAACTGCAACTTACCGGCACGAGCAAGGGAACCGTGAACTTTGCCCATTTTGAATAGTAGTGATGAAGTGGTGGTGAGTGGCTTTTTGTGTCTGTTTTTGAGTGAGTATCGGACGGCAAATGGGCCGAAAAGGGGACAACACAAGAGTTTGGAATGGTGTGAGGAAGGGACTCGGGATGTTATATACCTGTATCTCGCAGGTACCTAAGTAAGGTACGTACAATTCAGCCGTGTCAAACATTCACCGATGACTCCCGTCTGTTTTATCATCCCGAAAAGGGCAGTCGGGGGCCAACCGCTAGTGTAGTGTAGGTACTAGGTAGTCTTCCACTCCGGGGGAGCGGGAATTGCCAAGAGAATTGCCCCCTGGCGACATAAGAAAGAAACGCCCTGCAACCACCATTCAGTGCTAAGCAGTGGGGCCTCAGTGCATGCAGGGAAAGCACCGTCTCGATTACACTACCAACGGCGAAAGAGGTGAAATCAGAATCCCATGCGAAAGACTGACAAAAAGCCTATATGGATTATTCAACAAAAGAATGATTGATGCATAAGTATAAATGCCCGTCATCATTGTTCAACACCCTCGTACACCCCGCGCAAAGGATTTGCTGCCAGCAAGAGGCAACTTCAACCTCAAGGCTCGAGACGGAATTACATACTGTACAAGTTTTGGAACGACCCAAACAGGCAAGTTCAATTACAGTCTAAAGTGTTCACGTGCGAGCGCGCTCCTTCCGCGACAGAAAAGTCCCCGTTACGGCATCCATCCAACACGACGCTTACGCCGCGCAACGTTAATACCCCACGTAGTTGGTTTACTAAACGAAGAGTGACCGCGTAACCCAAATACTTGCGCGCGATCGGCCATCGCGTCATCTCAACCCATCATATCCACCTCAAAGTCCGCACTGTCAATTACCTCCGGTTTTTTTCAAGTCGGCATTGTTGGGAATATGTGGCTTCTCGAAAGTGACGTCTTCGAAGGTGGGTTTTGTCCTGTGTGCTACTGTGCTACATGGATCGGCGGTCGCGTCGACGCGCTGCCATGATGCCGTCCATATCAGATCAAGAAACTCCAAGAGAAGAGATCGCTGACCCCGAACGAGGAAGCCAGACGGAAGAAAATGGCTGCGACCGGGCAGGCAGTACCTCTTTGGTAGGACTGCGGAAAACAGTAAGACTTCCTCGGCACGAGCATCAAACAGCCACTGACTGGCCTTTTAGCCGATTTTGTCATTTCCGACAAGACAATCTCACGGAACCATATTTGCATTCATGTTGCTGATGTTGTGGACGGCGATGGTGTAGGTTTTCTCGGGCAGGGAATGTTCCGAATTGCCTCGGCTGATAAAGCTTCTTCAGGGCAACATACTCACACGCTCCAAAATCACCATTGAGGATAAGAATTCGAAAAAGGGCACCCTCTTGAACGGGACTCAAATACGTGGACAGAAAGTCGTCCTCACCGAACCAACCAATGAGCTTATATTGGGTGCCTGTCCACATCAACTTCGGTATGTATAACCCTATACGAACGAACCGTGGTGTTACGTGACCTGAACTCACCGGTTTGCTTCAGCATCGTATGGCGTCCCGTTGTTCTCAGCTTCTCTTTTACCAAGAAGGAAATCGAGGCTGGTTCATGGCAGACGCTACGTGACAACCTCGAGCAGCTTGACATCAAGTACATAGGTACTTACGAACAGCTCACCACCCACGTGGTTAGCAAGAAACGCAACACATCCAAGACACTTCAGGCACTGGTCAATGGCAAACCTATCGTATCTGACGGTTTTATCACCGCCATTGTCGAGGCTGCCACAGTGCCTGATGACGCTGGAACGGGAACGCCCAGTGCATTGGAGAGCACCTTCGATGAGGCCTGGCCCAACGCCGCTGATTACCTGCCACCTCGCGGTGATGAGCCTACCGAACGACCGCCAGCCGATTATGCACCCGACGAGCGGCGACAAGATGTTTTCGCTGGATACACCTTCGTGTTCTACAACCAGAAGCAACACGAGAACCTTGCGCCTGTTGTTCAGTGGGGCAAAGGCAAGGCTTTCTTCAAAGAAGTAGTGGAAGGCGTCACCGAGGTAGATGACTTTGTGCGCTACGTCAAAGAGGTTGCCGGTGAAAAGGGGACTGGGTCATTTGAGGATGGCAGTGACGGGAAAAGAGTCGTTGTGGTGCGACATGCCCCTGGAAAGGGCGATGACGTTGAGTGGTGGACCAACTTCTACACGAGCTTTGCCAGACATCTCGACCATCGGCCTCCCGACCAAAAGGAGTTTCTGGAGGCCATCCTCGCATGCGATGCATCTCTACTCCGACGACGCCTCGAAGAAGACACCCAACCTACATCAACCGCAAATCCCACCCAAATCGCCCAACCTCAGTCGGGGGATCGCATGCAAGTCGATCCACGCGACAGAGAAAATGACGAACCTACCCCGGCTCGACGACGAGCTCGCGCAGGTGGTAGGTCTCGCTTCAAGGGTTTCGATTTCGATTCCGATAACGACGAAGACGATTCCATGGCAGACGTTCCTGCTGCTCCAGCTACAAAGGCAACACAATTAGCCGCGGAGATGCCAGCATCGCAAGACAGCCAAAGTCTCTTCGTCTCACAGCAACCAGAACAATTCGATGATGATTTCTCAGGGCAAGAATCACGTCCCGCCGCCGCCACCACACGCGCTACCCGTAGCCAAAAGCCAACGCGTAAACGAGCGCTGTCACCACTGCTCGAGCATGATGTATCAGAATTACTAGATGCCATTGCCCCCACCGCCGCCGCCGCCAAAAAGAGGCGCATTGAGGCCGGACAACCCGCCATCCCCCAGCCGACTCCCGAACCAGAGGGGCCACCAGCTGTAGAGGATGACAAAGACGACGCCAACAGCATATCCGACTCACAGGGTAAGGAGAAGAAGGGAGCCAAAGGCAAAGGTAAAAAAGCCAAGAAAGGAGACGGTGACAACATCATCGAACTCGCCCGCCAAAAGCGCGAAGAGGCCGAGGCTCTCGCGGCCGCCGAGCGTCAAGCGCTGCTGGACTCGACCGCCGACGACGAGATTGACTATGCCGCCATCCGCCGCCTTCACATCATCGAGGAGTTCGAGGTGCGGATGCCGAACCGCGATCTCGACAATGCAGAGGAGGGAGAAGAAGGCTTCGCCGACGCCAGCGGCGGCAGAAGAGGAGGGCGCACGCGCGAGCAAGACATTGCCGATGGCAGGTGGGATCCGCGCTGGAACGGCCGGAAGAACTTTAAAAAGTTCCGTAAGCAGAAGCCGGGAGTTGACAATTCTGGTGCCGGTGACGCTGTTGACGAGCAACAGCAGCAACGACGTCTCGTCATCACGCTAGAGGAAGTCAAGCCCAAAGAATACGGCATTGGGGACGATTGCTGGCTTGAAGATGCCGGTAGTAATAGTCGACGCAACACTCAGGGACAGGGGGGACAATCGCAGAGTCAAGCCCGGGCTGGGACATTGGCAGCAACCGGCACTTCACAAAATCCGGCCGATAACAGGTCCCGTGGTCTTCCCACGAGAAGGATGCTCATGGCGGTGGATAGTAGTGACGAGGAAGGCTCGGATGACAACGGTGGCGGAGAAGGAAGCACCGTAATCCCAGAAACCGGATCACCACCGCCGCCCTACTCAGCGACAGCGGCATCGGAACCTCCAAGGTCGCGAGCAGCCAAATCAGCTGAGAAGGCATCAGCTGCGAGGAGAACGCGGCAGACTACCGCCACGACAACAGTGGGCACCACGACACAAGCAGAAGCTGCATCATCCGGATCGGGTGCGGGTAGCAAGCATGGTGCTCCAGCGAGTGGGGGTGAAAGGAGTAGCGGACAGCCGGCGGCGAAGAGGGCGAGGACAACAGGAACGGGAAGCAGGAGGCGGTTTGGGGTTGAGGATAGTGCAGAGGGTAGTGATGAGAGTGATGATGGGTTGAAGTTTAGGTTTGGCAGGAGGAGGTAAGGCGTTATAGTATTGATATAACTGGGTGTAGCTCCAAAGATATAGAAGAGACTGGTATTGTCACATGACAACGATGGAAACTTGCACAAGATCTGTTATCATATAACCACCACAACCTTTAAGCGTCTTGTATTGCAAAGCCACTGGTGGTCAGATGGGTTAGGGTTAGTACACGTAAAAGACGACATCTACTTCAACTTCGCCAGTCAATTGCATCGGGATTGCATCCAAGAATGGCCTTTGGATACAAGGATATGAGGGGTATCAATCAGTTACTTCCTCTTTGTACGTACGTACTCTGCTGTAATATTGCGTGTCTGCTTTGTTTTCTGCCTCCGCAGATATTTATGGATTTCTTCTCCCTCCAATGCTCCCTTTTGCTCATATAGTCGCTCCTTTTTTTTAAACACACAATGGCATGTAAACGTTCCCAAGGGAAGTTTTCTAGAGTTTTTTTATCCCTCCCAATTGACCAAGTAATAAACCACCGAATCCCTGACTCCAGATCCTATTCTTCACCCGGATGTTACCTTGGGAATGCCTATGCAAGTAATGGAGAAGCGGGAAAGCAGAAGCGACTTGAAACAGCCAGAGTGAGCAGGGTGGCTGGTTTGTTGCCGGTGTTTGTTACTGGACTCTTGATGAAAGAGATAGAGGGAATGAGAGAGAGAAGAGAGAAATGTTCTGGGTATATCGTGAGCTAGCTTAGTAGTATAACGAAACTCGCCGATGTAAATGTTGATAGAGTGATGGAAAAAAGGAAAAAAAAAAAAGCTGTGTAAAGCCAGGAAGAAAAGAGTGGCATTTGTGCCCTGAAATGCCCAAAATTCGATGCTATGATAAGACATTCGGTCCCAAAACCGGTCCCGCGAGTAACAGAATGAAAGAGAGTAAAGCCAGGACGTATCCGGTATAATATTGATCGCAAATGCGTGTTAACAACAACCTCCCAACGCCAATGCCCAAAGCAATGCAAATCAGGGACAAATAATAAGTGGAGAGGGCGACGCGCACGGCAGGTCTATTGCTGCGGTTCTTCTTGGTCATCTTGAGCCGCGCATGTCTTCTTCCCTCTTTGCCTCCCGAGGCATAGTCGGACATCTTCTTGACCGTCTGACCATTGGGAGGTTCGCACCATCACCCGCCATCCGTGGGTTGTAACTCAATGCCGCTGTCCCTATCCTGCGTCTGTTTTCCCCAGGACTGCTGTTGTCTGTTCTGTTCGTTGATAAACTTGGCCGCCAGTCGCGGCATAAGAACGCCGGGTTCCGGCGTGAAAATGCTCTCATCGTCCTCGAGGTCGGTATCGCTGATGGTATCGTCAATGGTATCCGTATCGCCCTCGCCGGCGGCTTCTTCCCTTTCCCGAGCCTCCCGAGCCTCCACCTCTTCAGGGGCAAGGACCCGCCCACCAATCTCAACGTCGCTTGCCTTCACTTGGTACGCCAGCGCACGCTTCCCTTCCTTGATCAGCTCTTCTGTCCAGCCCAAACACCGTTTCAGGCTCTGGTTGATCTTCTGGCTGTCTGATAGCAATTGCTGATGCTTGGATAAATCCAGCCGCAACCTCTCTTCGTCCTTTTCTCGTCGTTCAGCATCGCGAATCGCTTTCGTGGCTGGCGTCATGTCAGCGGAATCCTCCGATCCTGAGAGGTCGTCGTCATCTTCATCTTCCAACTCCTCCGTCAGTGTGTCCCGTTCCCCGTCTTCCGCTCCTAGCTCGCTGCCCTCTTCGCTGAGTGCGTCCAGATCAGCCCCGGCCAAAAGCCCGGCATCAGCTGGAGAGGCGACTAGAGCGGGCCCGACATTTAACCGCCCCGAGCGGGATAGGCGTTTGTAAGCCCGAAGCTCAGCCGTCTGTTTCCGCAGTTGCCGTTCCAGAGTGCGGTTAATCGCCTCAAGACTTGCGTTCGTAATCTGCAAATCCTGGACCTTCCGCTCCCTCCGGGCATTCGCAACAAGGTCTGATATCTCCTTGTCCTGCGGAGATGACTTTGATGGACTGCTTACTGAGCCTCTCCGCGGTTCCCCATCTCCACCGCTCTCCTCCCCTTCTTCTGCTTCATCTTGCTCATCTTCCTCGGCGACAAAGTCCTCGGCAGCCTGGAGAAGTGAGGCGAATCCACCAGAGGCCATATTCTCAGACAAGGAACTGAACGGAGCAGGTACGGATAGAACAGAAGGTGATGGTGCTTCTGAAGGAGGCCGAGAACTATATGGCGTCACGACCCTGGCCACTGCTGGTGGTTCGGCCATGACCAGGCTGCTGGGGCGACTGGGCACCGGTCCACTTGCAGGTCGAGAGGGAAGCTCGTTGAGAGATTTGCGTTTCGTTGATTGCCCATTGATTGGCGCCGTCCCGGGCTGGTCAGCCAGAGACTTGCGTTTCACGGACTCTCGGTTTGAAGAAGCAGCGCTAGCCGAGACAGGGGATCGCGGCGAGTTCATAGCCGATATACTCCCACTCCTTCCGGATGTCTGAGGGGTTAGCTTAACGGGTGATGTGGGTTTGTTAGGATAGTGTGTCTGAGAGAGCACACTTGGCGGCCTGTTTGACGGTGCCCTGGACGCTGTTGATACCACTGACGATGGCCTGGACCGGGTTCTCACCGGAGGCTCCGGATCGGCTGCCCCGTTGGCGTAAATAAACTTGCTCAAAAGTTTGTCCTGTTGTTGCTGGAACGGCGCTCCTAGGGAGGGTAAGGGGGAGGCCGGACCCGGGCTCTCCTTTGGTGGTATTGTGCCTCCATTTGCATAGAAGAAAGAGGAGGATTTGGCCTGTTGGAGAATAGGGGGCCTCCCTTGGGCGGGTGATCTCGGTGCAGCCTCGGAGGCATAGAAGAATTTGGAATCCGGATCTTGTCTGGGGACTCCAACATCGGAAGCTGGACTAAAGGTAACGATGGGTCGTCGAGGGTCGTCGGTCGTTTGTGAGGTTATGGACAAGCTCGATCGCGTATCCCACTGGTCGTTCCGGTCGAGACTTGGAGTAGCAAGAGGGGTCGTAGCGGTGCTGTTGACACGACTTGGTCTCGACGCAGCTCTCGGGGTAACGTTGCCGGCTAAATAGGGCGGCACTGGCGACGCGACATGTTCTCTGTCCCTCGAACTAGTGCTGCTGATTACCGACTCGGGCCTTCGCCTTGTCGTGGAGGCTGAGGAGACGGTGGAGGCGGACGAAACTCGGGCTGTGGTGACCTTTGGAGTAAGGGGTGCCTTGGTGGAGGCTCTTGCGACGGAGGCCGTTTGCGGCTGTCGGGTGGTTGTGGTTGAGGCCCGATCGTAGGGCATTCTGGCGACGGTCGGCGACTGCGTGTTTGACGGTTTGTCCATTCCTGGGTTTAAATTCGAGTGCGCTGCCGCACCATGTTGACTTGCGCGGGCCTTGAGAACGGGGAAGTTCCGGGACGAGGTGGAGGTCGGGGTTGCTGCGCCGGCAGGAGATGCAGCCGAGGAGGGAGTTGGAGTTGCGGTTGCAGTTGCGCGCTTGGTTGCAGCGGAGGAGCTCTTTCCGGTGGTGGCGGTGGTGGTGGTGGTACTGCTACTGCTGCTGCTGGCTTTGCTGCTTGGTCTAGAAGAGGTCGAGATGTGTGCTGTCCGCGCTCCAGAAGGGGTGATGGTGGTGGTCACAATTGCCGCAGGTGGTTGTTTCCTTGTTTTTCTGGCGCCTCGTCGTATTGAATCTTGGTCGGACTCGAGAGTTTGTGGTGACGGCGACGGCACTGGTCGGGGCCTGGAGGCGGGCGAGGGTGAAGGCGACCTGCGATTGTTGTTGTTGTTGTTGTTGTTGTTTATCGTGGGCTTGCCGGGAACTGGAACAGCGAGGGAGACGGGTCTCGGCGGGAGTGGTGAGGTCGAGCGCGAGGTCCCCATGCCGTTGGGACCCCGAGGGGGGAAATGCGCAATGGATTGGGGTCTTGGGGGCATTGCAGGAGGTGCTGCCCTGGGCTGCGTGGTGCAGGGTGCGGTGCGAGCGGTAGGCGACAGGGAGCGCTGAACGCTGTGAACACTAAAACAGACGGGAAGGTCCTCCGGCTACTGGTTGAACCCCCCAACTTGGACTGGGCGACATTGCCAAACACAAGACAAGACAAGACAAAACACAGTGAGGTGGTGTATCGTGACACAGATTCGTTGAATGGGTTGTAATCACGGCACAGGATGGAAGGAAGGTTGAGACGGATCGATGGAAAAGAAACACTTTTGGGCAGTCTTCCAGGGTGATTCGTCCTCAGGGTGAAAAGGGATGGCAGAAGGAACAGGAGGAGCCCGTTTCTTATTCCATCCTATTTCAGACTTGCAGCAGCCAAGTCAACCTAGTAAGGGTAGAGTATTATTGCAGGAGCACATGGAACGTAAGGTAAACCTAGGTAGGTAGACTCTGGCTGAACAGCCGCCCTTGTTGACCATTCATCCATTCATTGATCACTCTTTGGCCATGCGATCTGATCGAGTCGTCACTCAGTCACTCAGTCACTCTTTCGTCCCGCCCATGGTCACATCACCTCATCCAAACACCCAAAGTGCATTGAAGCTTCAATGACAGCCGTCTCCGAGTCTTCCTTTCTCCAACGTCCACTTCGTTGCTGGGTTTTGCAATACCTACCCTGCATCCCGCGCTGTCCGTTCCATAAATACACAGACAGACAGATCAATGCTTGGAAACCGAGATGCGGCAGCGGCTCTTTCATTTCGTCTACCGCCGTATAGGGGAAGCCTTCTGTAGGGACTGTTCGGGATCGTTAAAGATCGGAAATTGGCAAAGTTACATTGGATTTACGGCATTGGTCGCATTTGCATAACAGCGACCCCGCCGCGCCTCGGGGTTTTGGGTCGGCCCCACACGTCACCCGACGACTTGGGGCACCGGGCCGGGCACCCTTGTCCCGCCGCCGTCGCTGTATCCGTTCGATGTAACAGGGCGCTTTCAGCGAGCGACATCCAATGTGATGGGGTGGTGGGGGTCTTGCCCGGTTCAGTTCTTTGAATGCATTTCGATTTCGATTCACCATCATTTCATCCCAACTCGGACGAAATCCTTCCCCGGACAGCTGGGGGCACTCAACTGAACCTTGCTTTTTTGCTTTCGCTCTGCGCCACTGAATCACAAGATCCCACCAGACTTCACCCAGGCTTTCTAATATCTCGTCGGCTGACATCCCATCTGCGCTTCGTCACCTACACTACACTACACTACACTACACTACACTACACTAAAGCAGACGCTACTGTCGATCACGTAGTACCTATCCAGCCTGCCCCGCGATAGGTATCGCGCCAGTCGCGCTTATCCCCACGACACGGCAGACACAGGAACCTGGCACGCACTCCCCAACATCAGTCGATACAGCCATCAATGCCGCGATAACGTACGACCGACCACCATTCCCCGCATCTGCCTACCAATACCTACCTACCCCCGCTACAGCCGCGCAACCCTTCGCCACCATGGCCCTGCTAGGCATTTCCTTGATTGTCGCCTCTGTCGTCCTCCTCGTCTTGCGCCGACCAGAATGGCTTCAACAGTTCTGGACGAGTCTCTACCGTCAAGCATCACAGAACCAGCTTCCCCGTCCACCGCAACGTCCTGTACCACGCATAGAGGAACCCAAGCCAGAGGATGTTGACCAAGTTCACGAGAAAGAGAAGGAAAGGATAGCGGTTCCCAAGGATGTAGTATCTCCTCCACTGCCACCACCCGTGGTGATCCTGGAAAACGGCATCAACGATAGTCCTGGTTCTCCTCGAGAGGGGCAGACAACCCCTAAAGCCTCGGCGGCCATCCCCAGCGATTCGGTCCCGGCATTCACCCTCTCTGTTCCCGAACTAGCCCAACAACGACAACCACAGGTGGAGGAGAAGCCTACACCGGCCGTGACATCATCAACCTCTAGCACCAGCATGATGATGCCCCCTCCTCCCCTTCCCGCTGCTGCGCGGGGCAGCCTCCCCGCCAACCTTCTCCGCCAACCCGGCACCTCCACCCTCCCCCTCCCTCCATCATCCGGTGGCCGACCGGGCGGTGGTCCCCTCCCGAACCGTGGGCCTCCCTCCTCATCCTCCGGAGGAGGCGGAAGCAGTCTCTTCCCGCCGCCCACCCACAGCACCAAGCCCGCCAAGCCCTCGCGCGCCGTCGTCCTCACCCCCGGCCACTCCCCGCTAGACTGGGCCCGGCTCTCAGGCCACCCGACCGCGGACCTGCGCGGCTTACCCAAGGATACCCCTTATCTGCGCGTGACGCCGAGCTTGCTCAAAAAGATGACGGGCCGCAAGGGCAAGGATGCGTGGATGGTGCTTGGGGGAAGGGTGTACAACATCACGCCTTATATCCCTTTTCACCCTGGCGGTGAGCCGGAGCTGCTCAAGGGCGCGGGGAGGGACGGAACCAAGTTGTTTGGGGAGATCCATCCGTGGGTGAACTATGAGGGTATGCTGGCTGCTTGTTTGGTGGGGATTTACGTTAGTGAAGAGGATGGTGAGGCTGCGGCCGCTGCGGCGAAGAATGGGGGAGTTAATGGGGCTGGAGGAGGAGGAAGTATGGAGGAGATGGATTAGAGGTGTCAAGATGTAATTGAGCCTGTGTGTCAGGGGGGAGAGAGACAGAGACGGAAGCAGAGTAGCTGTGTGTGTTTTGGGGGGGTAGTGCCTTTACAACTTTTTTTGGCCCAGAGCTAACTTCCCAAGGTCCACGGCTGAGCGGTACAGACTGAGAAAAAGGAGGCGGGTGGGAGACATGTGCGAAAATATAGCTAGATAGCGCTGCCTGTTACGGATAGTATAGACCCGCAGACGCGGCCACCTTATAGAAATGATACCCCTAGAGGCAGATAGATAGCCTCATCATGGATGTTTCACCTCACGGATCCAGACTTTCTATCTCCTGAAACTAACACCACCCTCAATCATTATCAATATTAGCTTGACTCCTTCGCAATTACAAGTGTTGGGTTCAGAGGCTTTTTGGGGGTCCAGAGGTCAACGTAAATTGCATCCCATCTGTAGTGGACACTTGCCAAAACATATCATTTGAAGAAGCGAGACACCATATCAAGGACACTGAGATAATTGTTACTCCAGTCCTGATCTTCTCGTGGCTCCACGTGAGCATAAGTCATGGGAAAGCAAGGTTCACAAGGTTTGTGGTAGTGATGATGATGATGAAGATGATGAACAGAGCTGAATTTCTCTAGGGTGGCCTGTTATTTTTCATTTTCCTTTCCTGCACACATCTTGGGTATTAGTCCTCCCTCACCTTCACACACGCAGGTCTCAGTCTCACTGCAGATACCCCCAGCTCACGCCGTCAGTCGACGCTGATATTACACACACCGATATCGTCCCTTGTAGATCTTCGAGACATAAACTCCGCCGCCCAAGGCTTCTTTCTCACGCCTAACCGCGTCCTCCGGTCGTCCAGTCTCTGCCACCTAGCGAAAAATGTAGCCTGTATAGCCGACCGTTTATATGCCCCACCTCGGAAAGGAGATACAACGCTCTCCCGCGCCTCCTATCGGTTTCGGATCCGTCCTCAAACAAGAAGCCTGTATATCAAGGGAAAGCCTAGCCACAGAGAACAGCAAACCATTACACCAGGAAGTCGCCTTTCTATGACGAGGTCTTCGGTACGTTGGGCGCGTCGGCAGCCGTGGCCGCAGCCTGGGCAGAGTGAGTAGATCCCTTATCGCTGCTGTGGCGCTTCTTCTTCTCCTTGTCCTTCTTCTTGGACTCCTTTTCCTTCTTCAGGTTGGCCTCGGCGACGAGCTGCTCGAAAGCCATGTAGTCGCCTTCTTCCTCAGGAGAGCGCTTAGCCTGTTCGTCATTGTTAGCAAGCTTTCTGCGTAATCATCACAAAGAAGCGACTGAGGCAATTACCTTTGAGCAAATTTCACCAATAATCACCAACGCTTCGGCTCTTTCCAGCCGCTTCGCCAGGGGAATTTTTTTGTCGTTCAGTACCGCGTCACAAACATCTCTGAGCACGCTCTGGATCTCAAATTTGCTTCCCCTCCAGGCCGCTGTCAAAATCTTGCCCGTGACTCTCCTCTCATACTCCATCTTTTTCTCCTCAGTCCAGTCCTCGCCACCTAGCTGCTCCATACGAGCCATCTCCTCCATACTCTGCTGGGCGTCAATAGCGCTGCTGATGGTGTTCCATGTGTCCTTGACCATGGTGCCCTTGTCCTTCATGCGGCTCAGGAATCCTCCCACTCCAAAGAACTTTTGGCTGCGTAGCAAAGCAGTGGCCTTGCTGACGTAGGTTTGACCGATGGCGTGGAGAATATCGAGACCGAAAGATTCCATCTTGAGCTCCTCCACCTCCAGGCGCATCTTTTCTTGAAAGGCAGTTGTGACATCCTTGCCCCTGTCGGTTTCGGTCCATATGGAGATACGGTCAAGCAGCTTCTGCGCGAGGGTGTTGACGCGCTCCTCACGAATACGTGCACGCTCCTTCTCGTAAGCGGCGAGCTGTTCGCGCTGTTCCTTGGAAAGACCGCCCTTCTTCTTATCCTTGCCCTTCTTGTTGATGTCGGTGTTGGTCTCCTCAGTCCCGGGTAAAACCTCGTCCGCGGGCCTGTCCATCAAGGCCGGGCGAATGGGGATCTGCATGCGACTCCCACTGCGAGGAGTGGACGAGCCTGAAGGAGGCGCTGGCGAGGGTGATGGGGATGGGGCCTTGGGTGCGGCGGCCGGGGCAGCAGACGCCTCATCCTCGACCACAACCTTGGGGGGAGCAGAAGTGGAGGCGTCTGCGGGAGTGGCGCCAGCAGCGGTCTTGAGGCTTTCCTTGACGGCCTCGTCAGTGCCGGGGAACTCGCCTCCTTCAGCGGCGGCGGCTGCCTCCTCTGCCTCCATTTCGGCCATGCTGATTTCCATGGTGGCAGTCAAGTCCTTCATCAAACTGATCTCGCCAATCCAGTCCACGAAGGCCTCACCACCAAAAATACTTGTGAAGAACTCGGCGGGATCGACGAAGCCCTCGGTGGGCCGGGCAGACTCCTTGCCATACTTGTCGTAGGCTGCGCGCAGGTCAGGATCGGACAATACTTGGTAGGCCTCACCAATCTGCTGGAATCTTTCGTGAGCGGTAGGGTCGTCGGGGTTCTTATCTGTTTAAGGCGAGACAGCCATGTCAGTCTAATGTTGTTTGACAAACCAACTCGCAAAAAGGAGTGGTGTCGCAACCTACCGGGATGGTGGACAATGGCGAGCTTGCGATAGGCCTTCTTGATCTCGAGCTCAGTCGCAGTGGGCTTGACGTTCAAGACGTCATAGTAAGCGGTATCGACCACCATGGTGGCGGCAGGCGGAGTCGCAAAAGATGGGACTTTGGAGTGGGTTACAAATTGGTTGTCGTCGAGTTGCGCCGTTGGATGAAAGCAGCGGGTGCGTTTACTTAGGTTGCCTGGTCTCGATGATGGATCGCGATTTTTGGAGGAGTCCGCAGGCGCCGATCAGGGACTTTGAACCACTGAGGCAAAGGGGAAAGAAAAGACCTTCACACGTCCAAGTAAAAGGGAAAAAAAACCGGAGGTCCCGTGGCAGCGTTGAAGGAATAACTATTGTGAAGGAGAGCCGAGGGCAAAAGCAAAGCAGTATTGATTGACTTTGTCTAACTGAGGGAGGACGACAAGGTTCAAATGTGCCAATGGCCCGATAGAAGGTGAGAGATTGTAGATGGAACCTGACGCAGCCCAGTCAAATTACCTACGTTGACGTCGCTCGGTCGGGTTGCGACGCTGGGACTAGGTGACTACGGCGGGCTGCGGTGCACTGAGGTGTCGGCGCTGTCATTTAAATGCAATGCCACTGGACTTTGAGGTGCCAATGCGGCTATCTGCTTGCTGACTTGGTTCCGCTCAAGTGTTCCAAGTGGAAGTCGAACATGGAGAATCTTGAGGTCCGAGTATGAACCCAACTACCTACACAAGCCTGAGTAGGATACAAACCAAATCGGGTCATGTATGGCATGACGGGCCAAGATGGCATCTGCGAAAACTCGAGTCGACCTAAGTACCTAGGTAGGGTAATTAGCGACCGGAAGCCGAGTGCGAAAATTCACGAGGAAACCTGACCCAGGAAGGATCGGAGCCCTCCGTGCTGTCCGTCAGTGGGTGAACATGTCAAAGACGGGGGGACGTAGGTACCTACCTCTACCTACCCAAAGTGGGCTGGCGGGGTTCGTCTGGGCCTGTGATGATCGCGATCCCCTGACGTCGGCCTGCATTTTTCACCGGCCTTTTCCGCTGTTCTGGCCCAGGGCATGCATGGTCAGTGTCAGGAGCCGACGGTGAGGTGAAAGCCGGGTCTCGGTGAGCAGGTGTGGCCGGTGACCAGAGCCCGCAAACGCATCTCTAGCACCGTCACGGCGGGGACCCGAGCTTGGACTCGCCGTTACCGCGATAACTTTCCAACACCGTCGAGGCCGGGAAACTCTCATATGTATTGTGCATGTCGGGTACCAATCAACCACAACACCGTGAATGTACAGTTGGGCGAGCTCCGTATGATACGTGTCCTGCTTTCATCCCCCAAGACGCCCCAAATCATCTTCTTGGCGGCGCATCCTGAACCCTGGCGAGTCTAAGTCGTCTTCATTTCGTCGCTAATAATTATATGTAAATGATCTGGCCCTTCTCATACCCACTTGTTCCATTAACTCCGTGCAAAGTAACTCCAAACCAAAGGCAATCAATGACGAAAAACCTCAATAAAAGGGCAAAAAAAGTCCTTCAACCGAACCGCATCACGCCGAAACCAAGTCCTCAAGAACATCTCCGGACGGGAGTTTCCGAATCCCCGCTGCCTTCATCCGCTCAAAACACCTCCTATACGCCTCGTGGACTTCGGGTATTTCATAGCCGTATTCCATCAACTTGCTTGTTAGCTTGGTTGTATCCAGTTTGCAGTTGCTGCGACCAGCCTTGATCACTTTGGCTTGTTCCTCCAGGCTAAAGTTCTTCCATGTAAACGAGGGTCGCACGATATCCTGAAACAAGGTCAAGACCTCGTTGTGCGAGATGGCCCCGGGGTTGGTGAAGTTATAAATGCCCACCTCCCCGTGCTCGGCCAGTAAGATTGAAGCTGGCAAAAGGTCCGTCAAAATGGTATTGCTGTTGGGTATGTCCACCACCCTCTCGTACTGAGAGATCTTGGTCACAAAATTTCGCGGGTGAAGGTCGTCCGATACAGGCATTCGCAGACGCAAGATGAGGCAGTTGTTGTAATGTTTCATTACCTGATCCGGTTGTCAACCTCGTGATTACGACCGTAGGCCAAAAAGTCTCAAGACTTACCTCCTCGACGTGGGCCTTGGTCATGGAATAGAAACTGCCCGCAAAATTGGCCGGGTCCGTCTCCAGAAAGCCAGGGCCATCCCATGGATGAGCATCGTCGTACTGATAGATACAGCCCGTCGCAAACACGGTGATGTGGATGCCTCTTGTAAAGCAGCAGTCCGTCAAGTTGAGTGTCCCCACGACATTGGACCTCATGGTGGCCTCCTTGTTGTCTTCACACCAGTCCACGTTGGGTCGTCCGGTACAGCCCGCTGCGTTCAGCACGTATGTCGGATTCACTCTATCGAGCTCCGCTACGACAGCCTCCCGGTCCTCCATACGGATGGTGGTTGAATATACCTCCTTCCCCTGCCTCTCTAGCAACGCCTTTAGGTGGCCCGCAACCCATCCATCACCACCCCAGATGAGAAAGCGGATGGGTCTGTTGCCGTTCGTGATCTCGGTTGTTGCCATGAGGAGGGTGGTTGAGCTGCGGTTTCGAGATTGAACCGCGTTGACGAAGGGTAAGATGCAGCAGAACCGAGGACGACAAGAGGATGAGTCGGGGCAATAGAAAAACTATGCTCTGGCTTAGCTGATGAGTAGACCTTGAGAGAACGTCACGGCGTGACTGAACAGACGATTTGTTGGGCTGAGAAACCAAAGTGAGGAAACCAGCTCAGAAGGGGAGGAAGAAAGGGAAGGGAGTAATGTAAAGCATTTCCCAAGAGCCCAGAATTGGAAGTGAAAGCGCGGTCTGGAGAGCTGGCCACATGAAAGGAGGTCAACCGAAAAGGGTACATAGGCTGAAGGTACCCGCTTGGGAACCTACGTAATGGGAATGCCGCTGGTCGGGTTGCATCCCAAGACGTCGAGATTCCCATCATCCACTTGGATGGCTTTTCCCCTTGAACCCTTGAAAAGACGGTAAATCAGAATCTGACCCGTTGGGCGGGAAACGCGGGGGAGGGGGGAACCACCCCATGGTCTGGAAAAGAAACAAAAAAATGACGAGAGCGGCGCGTTGGCGGCCAGCCAGTTTTTCTAAAAAGTCTATATAGGACCCCTGATGACCACCTTTCACGGTCTTGGCCCTAGATGGAAGTATCAAATCCGGACATTGATCAATGCATCATGTCTCTCGAAAATGGGCTGTTTGTGACGAGGTGATCCATAGCCTCGCTGTCTCATTGAATTGTAACAGTACGTGTACTTGAGGTCCCCGTCGTTGTACCGGTATCGGTGTTTGCCAGGGTCTATTTTTGTTTTTGCCGTACGGCTGCCAAAGATAAGAAGATGTAATCTGATATTGTCGATTCGTTATGTCAGTCTCGTGGCACCTGTACCATGAGACTTCCATACTTTGAGACTGTTCTTTGTTTCAGACACGTGCGAGTTCCTGAACATGTTCATTCAACTCAGCTTGCATTCTGGGCATTCCCGTTCCCGTTCAAAGACATGCCGCAGTCCCGTCGCTACGGGACAGGACGGACGGACCCTTACTCCACTCATCTGGAAGCTCGGAATAAAATCCCCCGCAGACGCCAGACGCACACAAAACTGCAATCAACCCGAAAGTTATTTGCAACTCTTTTTTTGCTCTTCACTTTCAACAGATCGGCTGTTCCTACATCCAAGATCCTTCGACATGAGCCAAATATCAGCAGCTCAACGTCTTTACGTTATTCGACGGACGTTTGAGCACGGATCCTGACATTAGCTCAACCTGCTTAAGCAAGCTTCGAACTTGGAGACAGTTGCCCCTCATTGTGAGCAGCAGCAGCAGCAGCAGCAGCACAGCACCAAATCGACGGGAATCTCTAGTGCAAGGCACAGACAGGTAGATGAGGCCCCTGACAGCTCTACACCCTTTGGTGAACCACCATTGACCAATGAGAAACCCTCATTGACTTTGACCGCCCCGTTGGTGCCAAGCGGCGCTTTGGGAGCTCGGACCACATCTCTCCCCTCCGGCGCTTCGCTCGAGGATTTTCTTTCCTTCCGTCCTTTCTTTCCCCAGTCTCCACTGCACCCGACCCTGAATCCAAATCTGTCCTAATCCCGCTCCAATTCCCCCCCCGTCTCTCCTGCTCACTACCCAACCAACCAACCAGCCCGTCACCCACGACACCCAACCAGCAATCTCAGCACGGTGGCGTCAAGCTTGAAGTGAGCTTCCTCCAGTGACAGCTCACTGAACGCCCCGGCTCGAGACCCCCCCTTCCCGATCTCGCCAATTCGAACTTGTCCGTTCCCCGGAAGAATTCAAAAGTTTGAGTGGAGTCGCGACAACCCCAAGAAGAAGCAACCTTTTCTCTTCCCCTCCCATTTGGACTTGGTCGTCTTTTTACCACAATACAATATACTCTTCTTGTATTACTTGTTTTCACCCCCTCTCACATGTATTGGAACCTATAATCTTATCTTCAAGTCCTATCGTGTAACTCGGCCTAATCCATCCGGCCACCCGACTGCGCCGAACCCCCTGAGGTATACCTCCACCGCCTTCGCCTTTCTTTGCGCGCATAGTTACAGACACGTTGGGTTGCAAACTCAAATCACAAATCATCACCATGGGCGCGTTTACGAAGGCCGCATATTTCCTTCTCCACCCCAACCAGTTGAGGTCCATCGTTCAATGGTATGCGCCTCCCCTTTTCCCCCTTCCACCCTCCCGTTGTCTTGGGTTGTCCACGTGCTAATTGTAAGACTCGTACAGGAAGGTATGGCATGAGCCCGTTCACAGGCGCGACCCTTCCAAGGAGACCGAGACAGAGAAGGCATGCTTCCGCTATCTCGAACTGACCTCGCGGTCATTCTCCGCCGTCATTCAGGAGCTCAACCCCGAGCTCCTGATGCCCATCTGCCTCTTCTACTTGGTACTTCGTGGCCTTGACACGATCGAGGATGACATGACTATCGATCTCGCCAAGAAGGAGCCCTTACTGCGCGAGTTCGCCGATTTGATGGAGATTGATGGCTGGACCTTTACCGAGAATGGCCCTAACGAGAAGGATCGTGAACTCCTGGTTCACTTTGACGATGTCATTGCAGAGTTGAAGAAGGTCAAGAAGCCTTACTACGACATCATCCGCGAAATCACGGTCAAGATGGGCAATGGTATGGCCGACTATGCCTTGAACGCCGAGCACAACACCAACGGTGTTAACACCATTGAGGAATACGAGCTTTACTGCCATTACGTGGCCGGTTTGGTGGGCGAGGGTCTCACCCGTCTTTTTGTCGAGAGTAATCTCGCCAACCCAGCGCTCCTCGAGCGTATGGAGCTGACGGAGAGCATGGGTCAGTTCCTTCAAAAGACCAACATTATCCGTGACATCCACGAGGATTACGTCGACAAGCGACGATTCTGGCCCAAGACAATTTGGAGCAAGTATGTCAACACATGGGACGACATGTTCAAACCTCAGAACCGGGAAAAGGCGCTCCAGTGCAGTTCGGAGATGGTCCTCAATGCGCTCAAGCACACCGAGGATTGTTTATTCTACATGGCCGGTATGCGCGACCAGAGTGTGTTCAACTTCGTCGCTATTCCCCAGGCTATGGCCATTGCAACATTAGAACTCGTCTTCCGCAACCCAGCCATCTTTGAGAGAAACGTCAAGATCACCAAGGGTGACGCCTGCCAGCTCATGATGGAGTCGACACAGAATCTTCGCGTAGTGTGCGAGGTGTTCCGCAGATACGCGAGGAGGATACACAAGAAGAACGATCCAAGAGATCCCAATTACCTGGCAATCAGCGTCCAATGCGGAAAGGTAAGAATTGTCATCCGCATCTTCCTTTTCGAGTCTAAGCTGACAAAAGCCTCTACAGATCGAGCAATTCATCGAGTCCATCTTCCCCACCCAAGACCCCAAGAAAATCGCACTCGCACAGGCCCAAAATTCCAACCAAGCAGCGGCAAACACCACGGACAATGGTGACACCACCTTCCTGGTCTTGTCCATGATTGGTGTCCTGTTCGTTATGGGCGGTCTTATGGTGGGTATCTCTGTTCGTCACCACAACCTCCGCGTGGTCGGCTTGCTCGTTCACATGCTAACAACTGTATAGATTGGAGCCGCGTGGCTCATGGGTGCTCGATTCGACATGGCCTACGAAGACATCACAGCAAGAGTCGGCACGTTGGTTAATGGGGCCGCTGCTGTCTCGAGTGCCACAGTATCCAGCATCCCCACAACGGTGGTGCATCAGGAGTTGTAATGCATCAGCCATCAATTCGATCAACACCCTTTAATGACCGGCGCCTGATCGGATCTTTCGACACCACACACAAACGACCAACGATAGATCGGTTTAAGCCAGCATGTAATATCTCATGTGATATTGAATTAGCGATGACTTTCGTATGATTACGAGGCGAGTACCTTCTTGCGCGGGCGATATACAGGTAATTTTCTGGTTTGGGAGACGCGGCAAGCCGGGCGTTCGTGGTCGGGGAAGGGGTACGGCGATGCCCCTTTTATGTTCCCCTACCCAGCCCCTGATGAAAGATCAGTGTGCCTCGTGGCCTGGGTTTCGAGGAACGACAATTACTAACATTTGTTTTAATAAACGACCATTGAACCTTCTTTCCCCCTCTCCGTTCATCTACCTCTGAGGAGATCTGAGAATGGGCAGTCAGTCTCAAATGTTTGCTACCCTTCCTTCAATCATTGACATGAACATGTACACGCAGGAACTAGCACGGATGTCAAATTGCAATCTAGTCGCGTTCCCTCTTCATGAGAGAACCATCAATGGCTATGGTTGTGCCGAAGATGTGCTGAAATCAAACCTCACCCTGCAAGTAGCCTGGTATCCGGGCACGTCGTCATCAGGGACTCACTTTCTACGGCAAGGAGTCTGTTGCCGGCGGATTGCGTACATTTTATCGTTCAACTTTGATCCTATGAATATCATCCTACACAAATAAAAATGAAAGATTAACTCGTACCTCTTAATGTGCGCTCAAACATCTCAATCAAGCAGTGAAGTGAAGAGTCCATGTGCTACTTAATGCACGATGTTCGATCACTCGAAGAAAGAGTGTGTATGTACAGCCAGTACGTGACGACACCAAGTCAAATAATTTACCCCAATGCCAGTCGGGACGGGCGGGCGGGCGGGCGGGCGGGTAAGAAGCCATCAAGATTATCCAATGGCGATAGGCGCCACAAGCTGACAGACAACTGACTGGTTTCAGTTGTTTGTTACATTATTGCTTCGTACTTACCGTTCGGGTCGGTACCTGCGTGGCTGTTTCACCACAAGCATCCCTTTCTACCGGCTTGTACCTGCCTGGGACGCAACTAGCGACAGAACTGAAGTAGAGAAAGCAAGGCGCGTCTTGATATATGTAATTTCGGGAACACCCTACAACGACGGGACGCATGCATATCTACCTATGTATATGCATAAATAAATCTCACCGGGGTTGTTGGGACAGGTGGAAAGTGCGAGTGAGAGGCACTGAGGAGGGTGTTGTGTGTTTACGATCAAGGGAGTCTGTCAATATTCGAAACTCCTCCTTATATTGACCTCTTCTGCTGCTAGGCCGAGAAGGAAACGGTCACAGAGCGGAGTAGGAACTACACCTAGTCATTTCCTAACTGATGGTAATTCAGCGGACGAGTCACAACGAAATACTGAGGAATTATTGGGTCATACATGTTTGTAACGACTTGAATATTCAAAAAGATGAATTATCCAACAACCCTTTATCTTTCCATCCAATTCAGGCCTCGCAAAGCATGACGACGGACGATGGTCTGTCTTGGCTGACTATATATACACACTTTGACTTCGTTTCCGTAAACAACTATAACAGTAACAAGATCGCTTCCAGTTCAAGTAATCATTCCTCTCCAGCATAAGAAAACAAGCATCCCTTCATTTTTGTTTTTGTTTTTTTCACTCCCTGCCCCGAGAGGCAACCAGTATTTGAACCCTTAGAGGTTGCCATTGTTAGCAATCAACGACGTCGTTCCCCTAACATTGTTAGTCACCTTGGCGCCCGTCTTCTGCGCCAACTCCTTGATCCTGTTGCCAACAGCCGTGACATCTGTGAGGCCCTCAAGGGCCATCAGGTAGGCAGCGAGGCCAGCAACGTGGGGGCTAGCCATGGAGGTGCCGCTGAGCGTGTCAGTGGCAGTATCGCTGGTGATGCCAACTGACAGGACGTTGACGCCGGGAGCAAAGATGTCAACGCCAGCACCAAAGTTGGAGAAGGAGGCGCGGGCGTCGGTGCGCTGGTCAATGGCGCCAACGGTGATGGCGGCGGGCGCGGAACCGGGTGAGGTGTTGGCAGTGTCCTGGTTCTCGTTACCCGCAGCGACGACGGGGACGACGCCAGCGGCAGCAATCTGGTTGATGGCGCTGTTGATGGCGCGCGACTTGCCGCCACCGAGGGACATGTTCAAGACGGCTTTGCCGCCGAGCTTCTGCGAGGTGGCCGTGTCGGCGACGAACTGCATGCCTTGCAACACGCCCGAGTTGGAGCCGGAGCCGGAGCCGTCGAGGACCTTGACGGCGACCAGCTTAGCCTTCTTGGCGACGCCAAAGGTGGCACCGGCGATCGTACCCGCGACGTGGGATCCATGGCCATTTTCGTCTGTGTCGACGTTGTTGACGAAGTTGGCGGCGAAGGTGGCGCGGCCTTCGTACTCGGAGTGAGTGACGCGGATACCGGTATCGACGACGAAGGCGGTGATGCCCTCGCCGGCGGAGCTGTCGAAGATGTAGGGGGCCGCCTGCTTGCTGGGGCCGGCGTGGCTGAGGCGGGCCAGGCCGGTGGTGGTCGAGTTCTGCGAGGTGAGGGCGTTGAGCTTGACGTACTGATCCGCCTCGATGTACTCGACCTCCTGGGCGGAGTTGATGTCATTGATCATGTCATCATCGGCGTCGAGAGCCATGGCGCGCCATGTGCCCATCTTGAAGGCCTTAACACTGGGGGACATGATTCTGCCGGTCTTGGCGTCGCGCTTGCCCAGGTTGCGCTTGGCCACCAGCGAGGTGACCTTGATCTGATGGGCACTGATGGCCTCTTCACCAAAGGTGTTGTTGTAGACGACAATGTAGCGGCCGGGAATGATGTTGCTGATGTCGGAGTTGGAGACGGGAACACCGGCGGCGTTACCAGCGGTGGCACCAGTGTTCTGGGTGTTCTGATGGTTGTGTCTTCCTCCCGAAGGAGCGGCAGTGACGCCTAGGGCAGAGAGGAGGAAGGCAGCTGCGACGGAAAACCGAACCATGGTGACGTTTTCTTAAGTGTCTTCTTGATAATTATGGATGAAGATGCTGAATAGTGTCCAGGCTGCTACCACCTAGATTGTACAGCGAAGTGTCGAGAATATGCCGTGTGAAAAGAGAGGCTGATAGTTGAAGTCACAGACAGATGTCGAGGTATAAGGTTGGTGGTAAACGAACGGAATGTTTGATCGACCAACTAAGATCCAAGGCCGGCAAAGGATCGTGTTTGTCAATGTATAAACAAGCAAAAAGAAGGATGGCGTATGCACAGCAATACGTGAAAAGAGATCCGGAGGGCAGAGGAAGGCCGTCAGTGGTGCCCACGGCGAGGAGAAGCGAAGGGGGAAGAGGGAAACAAGAACAAAGTCGATGCTGGGTTGAGACGACATGATTGAAACAGCCCAGTACCGGCCTATTTGAATTCCGCTCGAACCTGGCGCATGGGCGAGGACAGTTGCATCCCGAGGCCCCTTTGGGGGTCCATGATGTCTCGAAGAAGGGGGTTACGTCGTGACGGTAACGTCGTAAAGGGGGCCGTTACCGAAACATTGGCGAACCTGCAGGGACCGCTACCACGGACAGGACACTGGGAAAATGCTACGGCATCATAGCGGTTCTGGGCCTCCTGGATGGTTCCTGGATGGTTCTGCTGAATGGTGAAGTCGATGTCCGGGACGCCAAGCATAGCAAAACATCCTTGCCTGCCAAGAGGTATAAAGCTGGGGTATGCCGTCCGAATCCCACCATTCGGAACCCAGGAAGCCGTAACGCCAGGTGGGATTCGTCACGCTATAGGCGAGTGCGCCCCCTTAAACCTCAAACGCCACTGTCTGGAGGTTACAGAATCTTTCCGAGATCCCACGCGACGAGACAGATGCGCGTGTCTGGGCGAATGTGGGCGTGGATGTGAACTCTGGGCGGGTTGGCAGTCTTTGAAGCTATGTCCGTTCATTTGCCCCTTTTGAGAGTTATAGTCTCATTCGTTTCGCCATTGGGTATGCTGCCGAACCCACTCCTGATGGCAATAGTTGGTGTGTTTTTGCTCGGGATGGCGAATAGGCAAACACGGCCGGCAAATTACTGATATATGTGTGTGCATGAAGGGGATATGGAATCCGAGTGCTTCTCCAATCGATTTGGGGAAATCACTGTTGGCGCCAGATGAACATGATCCCTAGCCGGGACCGTGATTACAGGGTGGGTTTAGACCTAGAGGCAATGCCTCAAGCACGTATGTTAGTCTCCGAATAGTCGGCTGTAGGCGCTGTGATGTTGGTGAGGCTCGGTTGGGTCGGTTCTTGGCGATCGACGGCAGTGGACAAGGAACGGATCATTACCAAGGCAAACGAATTGTTGGGTAAATACGTACCTACACCCTCATACCTATGTATATTTGTCTAACCGTCATACACACATTTGCTGTATCGAGCAACCCTAATGCCATGACGCCCAAGGAAACAAAGGGGTCTGTTACATGGAATAGAGCTATGATATCAGCACATGAGAACCTGAGACGCGCAGTGTCTTGACATGCTGATTGTGATGAAGCCGATGATGACGCGGGTTCAAAGCCGTCGCCCGTGAACTTGGGAGTGCGGTGTGCGAGGAAGAGGAGGCTCAACAGTCGCTGCGGGGGATTATTGCAAGCGCTGGTTTGCAGTCTGAAACACGTCGCCAACTACGCCAAGACAGAGCGTAGCGCCTCTCCGCATCCAGGGCAGTCTCCACCACACCAAACGGGTGTCGTTCGCGGCGCTGCATCATGTTTCGTGTCTGAGCGAATGCTACCATTGCAGCGGCGTCACACTGTCATTTCCGAAGTGGGATCATGTTAGTATAACAAGACGTGGTGCTGAAGCTTGAGACCCTTGACAGTAGTCATGTTCAAGGTTAAAGTCATATAAGGAGCACCTTGCTGAATTGCTATGATCCTATTGAGGAAGGAGACATTGATCGGACGGGCCCGGAGAGGACTGAAACTGAGGAGTGGCGAGGGGCACTCTGGGCCATCAAAGACGGTGGTGAAGTTGTTGATGCGCTTATTCGGATTTCAATACGGAGCTGACGGGACGGGACTACTATACTAGGTACTGATCTCGCTCCCGTGCTCCCCGTGCTCTGTTCACAGCCAGCGGGCAGTCTAGAATAGGGTCCGGGTGTTTGCTGGGTTAGTCAGGTCCCACTTTAATCGAGTGGGGTCCGGGAGTGTAGGTCCCGTCGGGTGCCGTGTACGGACTCCGGAATCCCGTCTGAAGCTGAGCCGGCCTACCAGCAATGGGTCCGGCTCCGATTAGGTCTCCGTCTCTTCGGAGGGCTTTCAATGACGCGTGTGAGACAGCCTTGTGGTTTTGGTGATTGACGAGTACACACGGTACGTGCACAGCCTAGACCGGGCGTGATCTTGTTCTTGTCGTACGTACTAGTGCCCCTCTTCCCTCCCCCCTCGCCGAATTGTTGCATATTGCTCAAGATGAGGTATCTTGGCCATGCATCGCATCAAGTGCCAGATGAGGTATCGTCATGATTTTCAAGTCGTGTCGATTCCTTGCAGACTCAGTGCAGCACGACAGGTTTCTTCCTTGATTGCCACTAAGTATCGTGATGTCGGTATTGATTGAACAACGGCATCATGACAATAGAGGCAGGCTATTCAATGCGCTGTGATTGTCGTTGTGCAAAGTTAGGATTTCTGGGTGCGTGCCCGTCGGTTGATGGATTGTTGTTCGCACGATGTTTGTTCTTGGGAAGGCCTGGAGGAAAGGTGTTTTACAGGTATATAAACAAGAACTGCAAAATCTGTGTGGTGCAATCCAAAAATAGGGCCTCATATCGATGGCAACACTGCCGTGGTACACAAGGGAGATGAGGAGGGGGGCAGTGTCGTGGAAAAAGGTGCACTTTTCATCCAAGATCGTCCTTTAAACGTTTTGGTTTCCGACAGATTGTCCGTTCTCCACTTCCGTTGACCTCGCGGGTAGGGTCTCCCGTCGGTCGCTTGTCGACACCAACCAACAATGCATGTGGGCCAGAGTTAGTGGTACCTTGAATCCGCATGCGGTACTTTATCATCCTAGAGGGGCATTTGTTAGAAGCTTTCCATCCTCTGCCATCTCCCTCCCAGCCTCCATCGGATCCGAGCCTCCGCCATGATCGCCATCCACGCCCGGCACCACCCACTTTTACAACAACAGCAACAACTTGACCAAGGACATGGCTCACCAGCCACCCGGCTCGATTCTTCAAATTTCATGTCGCTACTGTACTTAGTGTAGCACCAAAGGGCCCTTGCCTTACGAGCTCACTCTAGTGTCCCTACCTATATACTCTGCATCATGTTCAAAAGTAGGTACATGTAGACATTTCCCATTACCCGCCACAGCCCCAAGGGAACCCAAGGTAATCCACCGAGGTTGGGTCCCTCCTGTCCGCTCTGTCTCGGGCACCATGCACTAATTAGACTCTACCGTAGAGTAGTGTAGACACCTGCAGCCTGCCACAGCCAGACACCTCACTGCCCGCCTGCAGCCACTCAGACACCACACGCCCGCCCGGCAGCGACGCATGCCCCCCAACCAACCCCATCATCCAAAACCCGCCAATCTAAGCCTGGGGAACGGTCTGGCCGTTTGAATCCCGGTCAACAAGCCGTCCCAAAAGTCCTGTTGTCGGGGTGTCGGCGTCAACCTGTGACTTTTCTCCCCGCCGTCCTGCTGCAGTGTCGACAAAGTCCAGTGTCCTGCCTGTCGTTCATTCCGCTTGCTTTCCTGGCACGCGACTCCTCCAAGTCGAGACAACAGGACTTACATCCATCTCGGCAGCTTATCGCACACCGATCGGCCCATAGCGCACGCAGACAACCTACGCAGTACAGGCATAAACAGGCGCTCAGTGTTCAATCGAGGCATATTGGATGTGCGACTGCGACAGCAACTTGCTCCTCCCGCAGGGCGAATTATTCCACCTCCGACGGCGCACGCGACCCAAGCAACCCCCTCGTTGCTCGTTGTGTTTCTCCAGAGTCCAGCCTTCCAGCCTTCGCGATTCATAGTCTCGTCGTTCCATCAGGTCGCGCTCCTCGTCCTCTTGTTCTCCGTTCCCTGCGCCGCCGTGTCGTTGTTCCGTCCTTGGTCTCGTCTCTCCTCCCCCCTCCCCTACCCACATCAACCACCATACGTACCATTCCATTACTCTGGACATCCTTCTAGGTACCTTACGTCGCTTTCATCGTGACAAACTCAGCCGTCACTACACGCCCCTTCCTTGGCGGCCAGAGCGAGACAGACGACATATTTCTCGCTTGCCCGCATGTCATGACCTTGAAGGCACCAGATGACTAGTACGGCATCCACCATATACGCCAGAGATTCCAACATGACACCGCCCAGCGACCCGATGCACTCCGAGCCCTTGACTCTGGACACCCGCCTACCAAGAGCCGAGAGGGACCAATCACTGCAAGAAGAAGAGGAGGGCAGGGCAACAGTCGAGTTGGCCAACATTATGACCACAGCCTCAAACCCGGTATCGCCGGGTTCGTCCAGCCCACCACTCGACCAGGTTGGGCTGCAAGATTTCATCCCACCCACCCGTCCAAGCAGCACCCCGTTTCCGCACGCGGATCCTCGAAATGCCACGATGCGAAGAGCCACTTGTCCCGCCGAGGACCTGATGGATCTAGACGAGCCTGGCCACTGTCAACCGTCTTCCGGCGCTCTGCCCGGTCCGAGCCAAAGCGTTGGCGTTAACCTCAACCATCTCCCCGCCGAGATCCACGAATGCATCCTCGACCACTTGTTCGGCTTCCGCATTTCGCCAGCCTCAAAGAGCTCCATTGTACGATGGGGCACCGCACTGAGGCACTCGCGGCGAAGGGAACTGTCAGAGTTATCGTTGGTCAGCAGTGTATGGAGGATCCTGATCCAGGAGCGACTATATCGGCACATCAAGCTCAAGGCCACGATCGAATCATTGCGCGGCTCGTTTTCCTGGTTCTGCCAGAACCCGCATTTGCGCTGCTACGTCAAGCATATCGAGGTCTGGTTTCCCGTCTTCCAGCCAAAGTACGGCCCCTTGGCAGTCTCCAACACCAATGTTTTGCCTACCGTCACTGCCGATGGCTTGACCAATGCGACCTACCTATTACCGGGGAACAATTGCTCCCTAGAAGAGGCCTTCTACTTCGTCGCCGAGACCTTTCCTGAAGTTTCCGTCCTTACCCTAGAAGGTGGCGAAAGAAAGAAAGCGCCGAAAGTGCGACATTGGATTCGGGAAGAACGCGGGCAGCTTAGGGCGATGCCCAAGGTCGAAACCATTCGGACACTTATCTGCAAGGGACAGTGGAACCTGATCAGGAGCCTGCAAGACTGGGAAGCCATCATGTCGGCTCTCCCCAACTTGCAGGAATGGCACGGTTCCTACAGCAAGCCCAAGTCCAAGAGTTATCTCACCATGGCTGAAGTCCTTGGGCAGCCCATGAGCCTGTCCACCCTTAATCTCTGCATTGAAGGCGATTATCGGCGAGAACTATCCTTTCCACATTACTTCAACAAAGTCAGGACAAAGGTGCATTTCTGCTCGACCCTAGCACAAGCTGCAGCATTACCTTCTATGGAACACTTTTCTTACACGGGAAGGGTTTGCAAACAGTTTTTCATTGACCTGGCACACCGGTTGAAGGACATCCGAAATCCACGTCTCAAATCGATCGATATTACAGTCAAGAACTGCTGCCGAAACGTGGCACACTGGAACGAATCTGGGTCGGGAATCACAGACATGTTTTTTATCAAGGCGTTTGAGGCTCTGGTACTCGCGGGTATCCGCTCTTTGGAGAAGCTGACTTCGGTTAAATACCTGCGCATACGCTATGTCGACCTTGGTATGTCACTCATTGGGCACCCTTCTCTTTCTAGTGAATTTATGACTAACATTGAATTTCAGATTCTCCCGTTCCCCCGTTAAATCCATACTTCCAGTTACGCAACGGTTGGGCATCCGGTGTCTGGAGCGAGGTAATTGTTAGCGAACTCAACCGCGTCCGGCCCTCGGTGCGCTTCGAGGAATTGTCCGAGTCGTTTGGTGAGGTTGGCTACAGCAAAGATGGCAGAATGGTCATCAACCCTGACTTCCCCAGGGCCAGGGCTCTGTCGCTGAAGTTGTCCAACTATCGTTTGCTGAGCGGTGGCATTTCCATTTCCCATTCAGTCTGAATGGTTGTTGCGGCTCGGTACCCAATTTGCCCCTGATTAGCATAAAGCCCCAAAGATATACTGTATCTTTTACATGGGAAGGTTTGATTTTGTTTTGTCTTGATTCTCGTTTCGAAAGCATGGCGTTTTGGTTCCAAAGTTGGGGCCTCCCACTGATATCAAGGTATGCCACATAGGCAGGCGGGAAGGCGGATCTTGGTTGGGGGTTAAAACATGAGGATAATGGTCGGACGGCACCGGCGTCAAGATGGGAATCCGATATCCTTAACATGTGTCTTAGCATAACAACAGATCTTACTATTAGGTCGCGGGACTTGGAGGGCAGACTACCCTGAGGTGGCAACACTCGCGCGGAGATGGCATGTCATCGTTATCAAACTATATCTTGTCTACAGAGCGGCGTTAGTTGTGTCGATCGAAACCGCGTGAAAGATATCGCAAATGGACTGCTCTCATGACGGATGGTATGCTCCCTTCGGGTTTCACCGAAAGGATTAGCACTCAATATGGTTGAAATTGTAGAATCAAACACAGGTGCATTTCAGTGTAACTTTGGCTTCTCCATATAAACAGTCTTGGCTGCCTGATCAGTTGACAACCTGATAGACGTAAATATATACAATTCACCAACTCGGTGTCTTCCCATCATTCATCGACCAATCTCTACCCCAGTCACCTCCCACCGTCACCAACAATCACCCCCAAAATCCAGCAGTTCACCACAAAGAATCCCAAACTCGCCATCCACAGCCCAGGCAAGAACGTGCTCCGCCCCAAAAACTCCAACTCATACGCCTGCTGCAACCACAGTCCCTGGCCGAGCACCCACAGACCCAGCGCTACCAGCCCCCTCCTCTTACTCGTCCAAAACGAAGACCGCGGGAGGTACAACGGCAAAAGGACCAGGTACCAGAGGAAATACTGACTGGTGCAGACCTTGTTGAAGGTCACGAAAGCAAAGGTTTGCGCGAGCAGAGAGGTGGGTAGATCCTTCTTGGCGAGGGTGAGGGGGATGAGGATGGTGGAGAGGACCAGTTGAGGGAGGAAGGCTAGGGATTCGATCTTGAATTTTGGTTCTGCTGCTGAATGAGACGGTGATACCGACGCGGAAGACAAGTAAAGTTGGGTGTTGTAAGGGCTAAAGTTGTGCCGGTGATCAATCCGCGTGACGTGATGAAGATAGGTTTCCTGCAGGAAGGGGTGGCCGTATAGGCGGTACATGAGGAAGTTGAGAGAGAGGAAGGTGGCGAGGGAGGTGAATGCTAGGAGGAGGCGGGGGAGGGTGAGGAAGCGTGTTAATTTTTTTCTGAACGACGACGACGTCTTCTGGCCTCCTCCTGCTCTAAATCCGGAAAGCCGTTCCTGGTCCATCCACCACACGATGGCGGGCGCGTAGATGAACGGATAGATCTTGAAGTGCACGCTGAATCCCAGAAGCAGGCCGGCAAGAGTGATGCGCCGCGAGAGGACGGCCCAGAGAAGAGCCATGACGAGAACTCCCAAAAGACCCTCGGACGAGCCGCGCGTGCTGATGGTGGCTACCATGGGGTTGAGGAGCCAGATGGCCGCGAAGGCGCGGGCGCGGGAGGGGTCCATTCCCGTGGTTGTCTCGCTGGGGTCCTTCCTTCCTCCCTCTTTCCTCTCGGTGTCATTCTCCTTTCCTTGAGCAGGAGAAGAAGGGAAATCCTTCCCCATAACCAACACCTGTTCAATCAACCACCCCGCCACCAAATCCGCCGCTGCAAACAGGACCTTTCCAAAGCTGAACCACGCCACATTGATCACCTTGGCCGCCAAGGGGCCCCATTGCGCACCTGCCGTCCATGTGGTGGGCAGTAACAACCAGGCCAGAATAGGCGTGTACCGGTACGTCTCACGGGCATAGGGAGACTCGCCGCGAGACACGAAGCGGGCCGCGTCGGTGAAGACGAGGTAGTCGATATCGGTGTACTTGAGCGGCGAGTTGGCATCTTGCCAGAGGCCGTACAGGAGGAGAACGAGGCGGAGGAGAAAGGCGGATACGTAGAGGGGCAGTGGTCGGGAGAAAAGGGTGCTTAGGAGAGAAGAGGACTTGGGCTTGGGCTTGGGGGCCGCTGGTGATGTCGTCGCCATTTTGGAAGGTTTGGTGTTCTGGCTGGGTGGCTGCTATGTTTAGGGGTTCATTTCATGGGGTTATTGACGGCACCATGAGGACTGTTCGTTTGTGACTTAATCGTGTGACCAGTTGAACAGACGAGGCCTCGACGAAGTGAATATGTGATCTCTTTGGTGTGAGCGCGCGCTGTGGGAGCAGGCTTGGTGTTGATGCCAGATTTCAGGGGTGTTTGGGCTGAGAAAGATTCTTGGCAGGCGTTGAGTTCAAGCCCCAATACGGTAAATTACGGCTTTGCTGTGCAAGTTATCACATGAACACCGAGTGCCGTCGCGCATCGCAGGGTAACACTGGTGCCATTACTCGTTCGTCTGCTGTAATCGGGATGCACATATCACAAGTGGCCATGTTCTGACAATGGTTCCAAAACATGCATCAAGACTAACAAAAAAAAATCTTGGTTTATGAGACAGTCATAATGGAACGGATGCCTATGTATAGCTAAAAGCAAATGAATGACCTGCACGTTTTAGTCTTTCCCATGCTCCGAGATCTACACCAAGTACCTCCCGGTAGGTGGACGCTTCGTGGCAGCTATGACGACAACCTCCCACACCGACGCGCAGAAGCACCTGGAGTGCCTCGACGTACTTAAAGGACGGCGGTCACGATACACATGGTTCAGATGTAGAGTGATATCTACCTGGCTCTCAATTCACTTACACGCCGGTAATAGCATCACAGTACCAGACAACAGCATCCAGCAACAATGACGCCTCCTCTTATCACCCTCGAGGAGCACTTCTTCTCCTCGGCGGTTCCTGAATGCCTCAGGCCAAAGTACTCGGAACAGCTGAAGCATGTCGATGGCGTATATGAGAAGGCCGTCGATCTCGGCGCTCTACGTCTCCGTGACATGGACGCTGGTGGTGTCGCACTTCAGGTCATCAGCCACGTACCAGGTCTTTCTGACCATCCCGTCGCCTGCCATGCAGCAAACGACCAACTTGCCGGTATTATCAATGCCAAAGATCAACGCAAAGCCCGCTTTGCCGGGTTCGCCGTGGCACCCATGGGCCATCCAGTCCAGGCAGCCGCAGAGCTTCGCCGAGCCATCACCGAGCTGGGTTTCGTGGGTGCCCTGGTTGACAACCACCACAATGGCAAGTTCTTCGATGGGCCTGAGTACGAACCGTTCTGGGCAGCAGCCGAGGAGCTCGATGTACCGATATACCTTCACCCAACGTGGGCCAGCGAAGACATGGCCCCACATTATCAAGGTAACTTCACCCAAGGGGCGGCCATGAGTATGGCTTCGAGCGGGTTGGGATGGCATACCGAGACAGCACTGCATGTTCTTCGTCTGTTCGCCTCAGGCTTGTTCGACAGGCACCCGAAGCTCAAGATAATCATCGGCCACATGGGGGAGACGATACCCTTCATGTTGGAACGGATCCAGGTCTTGAGTCGCAGATGGGGGGAGTTCCAGCGAGACTTCAAAACCGTCTATGACGAGAACATATGGATCACCACAAGCGGCGTTTGGAGTCTCAACCCATTGAGGTGCATTTTGGCGAACACGAAGCTGGATCACATCCTGTATAGTGTCGATTATCCCTTTCAGAAAAACGAGATTGGGCTTGAATGGATCCACGATTTGGAAAAGAGCGGGTTGGTCAGTAAGGAGGAACTTGATGCGATTGCGCACGGGAACGCAGAGAAGCTCTTGAGAGTACAGGTGCCCAAGCTTTGAAGGTTGACGGGAGGTTATGGGGGTTTGCAAAGAGGTTGTTGATTATATGTATAATGTCGAGATGTGGAAATTGTTCATCCAGTACTCATCATATCCTCCTGCTTTGGGTGGTCGGTTTCCTGTTCGATTTTGTATAATCCAGTGTAGGAAAAACGATGAAGGGCGAATTGGTTGAAGTAGGTCTCGATTCCCAGGAGCGGGAGGCTTGTTCGGCGTCGAGAATAAATGGAAGGCATGGAATAAATTGTTGCGTTGAAATGGTTGAATTTATCCTCTGGGACTATTTCCCCCCATTTCGCCCTCTGTCCAGGCTGCCAATAGTGTCGAATGTATAGGGCATCTCAGAGACCCCTACAGCGCTAATATCCTGGGTCCGGGAAGCTTAACAATTGCGGGGCGCATACCTCTACGCTACCAATTAATTCTGCATCAAACGCTCTGCCTCACACCCTGGGGTTCTTTTATCTCGGGGCGTCATCATTGTAACATCGATTTGTTCCCATCATGGAAGGCAAGATGGACGAGGCACCAGCACCAAAGCGCGCCAAAATCGGCTCCGAAAACCCTTCTAAGCCAATTGACAACTCAACCGGAAACACAATGTCTGGGTTTAAGCGCGACAGGCACGGAAACGAAAAGAGGTTCAACAATGGACCTCGACCGGCACCCAAGCCGAAGGTGGCCGTCGTAAGAAATGCGTACACGCCCATGTTCGAACAACTACGCGATGAGCTCGACGCCCACCATGATCGTCGTGACCGCCTCGGGAAGGTGTCGAGAGACATTACCGGACTCAGCAAGAAAATGTGAGCAACATGGATGGAAGTATCGAATTGAAGGAACACGGCTGACGAGTTTCACAGAATATTTGCTCTTCAACGGTACTTGACCTGACACCTTGCTTCACCTTTGGTTGTCAAGAGTACTGACCGTGCCATCAGAGTCCGCACCATCAGCCCCGATCTTCCTCCCCAGATTCAAGCCGAGGTGGACTCCCGCCTCGCCGAAATCTCCAAGCTCCTGGCCACCATGGCCCCAGACGTCCAGGGCATCAACCGTTACCGCTACTCTCGCTCCCTGATGTGTCTCGAGGAGCTGGCCGAAGCACTCACTTTTGCCCATTACCTCAAGACCCAAACTCTTCTCAAGCCTGATGAGCTGTCGGCCTTTGTGGAGGAGCTTACTCGGAAGGGCGCTGTGTCGGAGGACAGAGATAAGGACAAGGACGAACCGATGCCAGACGCTGGCAACACTCCGGCACCTGCCTCCGGCGAGCAGGAAACTACTGACAACGACAACAAGCTAGCAGAGAAAGAAGAACAGCGGCAGTCAAAGCTAGAGCCACTGACCATGTCAACAACAGAAGACGACTACTTTTATGGTGTCTTCGACCTCTCTGGAGAAATGATGCGCTTCGCAACCACCAGCACAGCTTTGACCGGGGAGATGGCTGGTGCCGAAGACGAGCGAACTATTGTCGAAGATATGCACGAGCTTGGTAGCTTCTTCGAGATGCTGCCGATGAAGGCCGGTGATCGGAAACAGTGGGAGAAGAAGCTGGATGTTATGCGGCAGTCGGTGAGGAAGGTCGAGAGGCTGGGGTACGACCGGATGATTCGGGGCAGTGAGCGACCGCAGGGCTGGGTCCCGGATCTCACGGCGGATCAGCCGGGCGACGATGAGGAGTAATGGAAGAGAATAATTACCGTGTGGGTAAACAAATGGCTGTACATTGTGTGGCTTGATAATCGCTATGTTCAAGTAGATGGGAGGTTTTCGCATTGAATAAGGCGGCCCCATCAATGGGCTAGTGCCCAAATGGTTTCACAAGACGTTCTGGTATAACAAGACCATACCTTGAGCATATACTGCAAGAGCGGGGATATTTTGACATACGTACAGGTTCAGTAAAGCATAGAGAGCATTTCGAAGCAATGTCAGAAGTGGGAACGAAGGTCTTTCTCGAAGTTTTACCATGGAAAGCAGACAGGGAACAAGATGCAAAGATCGACTATGGAATACTGAGGAAGCACTGAAAGTTAATAACTCAAAAAGAGACATGAAGGTAAAGATAAGCCAGGCATGAATGAAACGAATCAAAGCAGTGAAAGGCGAGGAAAAGAAAACAAAAAACAACCTACTCCTGTGGACTGGTGCAGGTAAAAAATGACAAAAGATTATGACAAGAGTGGGATTCGAACCCACGCCCTTTCGGACCACGGAACTCATAGAGGAGATTAAGGGTTAACCTTAACGTGGCGCCTTAGACCGCTCGGCCATCTTGCCTTTAGCTGACAGATTTTAAGATGACATAAAACTATAATGCCAAGCTCTTCACTCCGCTTTCAGCTCCTATTTCACCCTGTCGTTTTCGTCACTCTAGAAATTTGCCAATCTCGAGGGCTTCTGTAGTTGGAAAAAGTCATAAAAGCCGGCCCTTGTATACTGATTTCCTGTAGAGCATGAAGAAATGCAATTTCACATTCGTGGTGCCGTCTGGACGGCTGCTCACACCAGCGTTGTCTTTCATGGTTGATGCAGTCCTGCCTAGGTTAGAACTGGAACGTTGGTCTGACCTGACAAGTAAGATCAAAAGACTTCAAAATGCCGTTATATTACCAGCCTCACTTCGGAATGTCACGCCTGGTACGGTATGAGATGGATGGCTTCTGATTGTCTGGTGACGCAACTGATGCTGGGACGGATGACATCGACGACCCAACGTCAGATGGCATGGCACTTCTACACACAACCCATGTCCGTTGAAGATAAGCAGTTTACTCTTCTATATAGTGTTTCTACGTTCCAGAATCTTATGCGAAGTTTGGTGTGGTCACCTGCAGGCTGACTGTTTCTGAAGTTGGGATGACTTCCGTTGAAACACCCCTTCAAGCTGGAAGCGGTCCGACCACCATTCACTGCTATTTAGATTCTAGCACTTCTTTCCCTTTCGCTCCAAAACAAAAGTAATAATCTTTATTGCTGCTGACTGTCACCTACATAACTAGTCGTACATCTAGGCACTTGGTCCTTCGTCTGTCGAAGTCGGGAAGGAAGAACATGTATTTCCCCAACAAAATGCCTCTCCCCGTGTCGTATACGCCTCGATATTCCCCTTCATCCCATCTCCTTCGAGAAGAAAGCGATATTCAGGTATGGTCCTTTCTACAGGCATAAAAGCGGGCTTCCCCTTTTGCCAAACTTCCTCCTCTTTCCTTCTATTCTCGTCTGTCGTATCCCCCACACTCTGCCGTCACCTCGTTTGCCAACTCGGCCCAGAACAAAACTTCGTTTAACCGGTTGCGTTCTATCCATTCTTCGCTTTCTCCGTCTACCTAAGTTTACTCACGCCGTCACTCTCGCAAGTCGCGCAACTCCAAACCTCTTTCCAAAAACCATTTTTCGCCCAGTTCTCGTTCTTGGATTCAAAAAATTCGCGCGAGTGGTCATCTCACCAATTTCTCAGCCACCGATCGTGACCTCTCTCTCGATCAAGCGATGGAGACTGGGCCAATCTCAATGATGTCTTGCCAGTGCAGGGCCTGCCTCGACCAGCTTGCAAGCCCCCAGTGGCTGTGGTTCCACGAGCAACAACACCATGCCAATCACAAAATCATCGCCTGCCCGCAATGCGACACCATCTTACCAACAAAGGCCAAGTACTTCCCTGCCGATAACAACAAGTCACGGGAACAGCTTCTCAGGTGCCCCTCATGCAACCGTCAAGATCAGCTCAAGCTCTTTCTTCGCCGCCAGACCGCCTTTGCCTGCGGCTTCTGTTCAGCCTCTTTCTATACCTTTTCTCCTTCGTCTCCCAGTTCTTCTTCTCATGATTCCGGCGCTGCAACAACCCCCAGCTCCAGCTCCGGCGTCTCCGACTCTAGTAAGTCTCACTCACGCACCGAGCGCCACTACCTCCGCCACCTTGCAGCCGAATTCGTCCGCAACGATGAGCTCATCGAACAAGGCCAGCCGCCGCGCAAATGGACTCGCGACAGCATCATTTACGGCTTGCTCCAGCGTCCAGAAATCGCCAAGCACTGGAGGGCCTTGACTGTGGGCAGCAAAGCCGGTGGTGGTGGTGCGTGCAAGATTCCGGCTGGAGTCGATGCGTTCTTCAGCTGGGACATGGACACGGACACGGTGCAGGAATATGAACTGGGAAGTACAGCTGCAAAGGATTTTCCTTGTGGACAGTGGAACTTGCAGAGCTGGTTGCAATACTTTGATCCAGAGAAGGATGGCGATGAGAAGGCCGCAAAGGTGGCAGCTTTAGCGTTTGCGCAGGCTACCAAGTTTTACAGACCTCGGGCTGGGAGGGTTGAGGCAAGCATCCGGACGAATGAAGTTGGCTTGGTCGGAAACAATGAAGAAAAGCAAGAGGGAGGAGAGGAGAAGGTCGGTTTGAACAAACCACTTCCACAGTTGCCTATTGTGTCAGCATTTTCTCCATCATCAACCATGCTGCCAACTGGATTGAAAAGCACAGATTATCGGAGAAATCAGGATAACAAACGACGAGAAAAGGAAGTCGACACGACAAGAAGAAAAGTAAGGCATATTGCAAAGCAGATTGAGGTGGCCTTGTCAGCTGCTTACTGCTGAAGGCAAAGGGGTTTGCAAAGGGTCAAATACCTGTCGAGAGCCATACATGTGCATAACTGTCAGGATACTCGTCGTCTGAGTCGCAACTTTGAGGGGTGTTCGGAAATGTAAAGAGGGTCTTGTATATGCCTAGAAAGCATAAGTTGACAGTTGGAAGGAGACCTCAGTTGTTTGCGAGATATCCTTCCATGTTTGTGAGGTGTTCAACCGAGATATGGAGGTGTTTGAGCATAAGCTACTGAACGGTCGAAGAATTAGGGATCTGGAATAGAAGTGATCTATATGGACCTGGTTGTTTCTGAGTCCAGCAATGGCAATTATCAAGTATTGCGATGCACCGGTATTTGAAGATGGTAGAATGACGATGTAGGAACGCAACATCGTGTTTCTGAAACATTCATCAAAGCGAACACATGCCACTTACAAAAATCAAACTTTTGTATACTTAATGATGTCATGTTGTGATGATCGGCTCTCCCGCGGCAGATTGCTCACAAATAATGAATGTAGAGGAAAAGGGGAGATTACAGGGAAATGCTGACTATCGACAAAAACAAAAAGACAAGTGCGTGAATAGATATGGGAGCAAAAAGGACGATCCGGATGGGACTCGAACCCACAACCTCAGTCTTATCCTCCCGAAATTAGGAGGACCACACGATACCATTTCGCCACCGGACCGTTGCTTGTTAAAGAAGATTGTAAAGATTATTCTTTATAATTTCGGAAATGGTATGTCGAAACTGAGGCCAAACATCAAAGGTTCCCTGCACGACTGTACAAGGCTACACCAACAACCCCTCTTCTCACGCTCAGAATTTGACAGTGACAAAATATATAAGTAATGATTAAATAGATTGTAGAGTTCAATAAGAAGATGAGCGAGGATTAAGGCCAAAAAGCAAGGCTTCTTGGCTCGAAGCAAAGAATGTTGTAGAACGAAGCAGGAGAGAGGAAGCCAAAAAAAGCGCAAAAAGATATGTAAACAGATATGAAAACAA